TGAATTTTTCCACGTCCGGTTGCTTTGATAAAGCATGTGCCGATATTTATTTTTATCCATACGATCTTTGAATCTAGACATATAATTACTGGAATATTTACATTTAACAAATAACACTTGGACAGTGCCTAAAATGGTGAATGTGGGAATACAGAATCCAGATGACACGGCTGGGCCTTACAGTCGTGACTACTGTGTAACCTATTCCCTTTTCATATTCAATATATTATTTTATCCCCAGCTCGAACGTGATGTCCAGAAGTGCTAGACAACATATCGCTGATTTTCACGTGGGATGTGTCAGCACAGACAATCCTGTGACTTCCGCGTAAGATCCTGTAGTTCGGGTAGTCACATCATGACAAATGTACGAATTTAGGGTCAAGCCAGTTACTACAGTAGCCATGATAAATGTGCTAATACCGACCTATATTATAATTCTTCAGTGGAGTCAAGATTAACATGTTGATTTTGCATGATAAATAATGCCATAGAAGTTTTGTTTATTTGAAATTCGTTATCTGAAATGCTAGTAAGCTTATATACACACTCATTATTACAATGCGTCGGACTTCCAGACTGGCACCAGAACTTCGTATCACCTAAATAAATTTCACTAGGGTTTATTCTTTCTTTTCTGAGAACTTTCTGTTTCTAAAGCAATCAACTGATCGCATTATTCCCTAAACTGGATTTCCAGAATAAATAGCATATAGGTATTTTCATAGGGAAGTGGTGCCGAAGTTTTAAGAAGTTTTTGAAACTAAATTAATCATAATGAAAGTTCTGAACTAATGAACAAGCCATTATTTGTAAAGTATTATCAAAATAGTCATGACTAAGGCTAATGATTCAACGGTTGGTGTGTCTGTATATTGTGTTAGGTAAAATGGAAGAGGTTTGATTCAAAACACTTGACTGAATATTTCCTGTCTTATCGTTTTATAAGTCACGTATCAGTTGCTCATAACATTTAAGCACGCAATATCAATTCTTAGTCGTAATTATTGTAAAGAGTGAAATTCCATTATTTGGCCTGAACTCAGAGCTAACAAATCAAAGTTAATTTGATCGGGCCGAACTGCGTCTTTCTGTATAGCTTACGTAGCGTTTATGTCACTCGTTTTAAATTATACCGAAACAAGTACCTCAAACGATGCAGTCTGTGTCATACAGTCAAATGTTTCTCAAACACAAGATCATGTGCTGAACAGCAGAAGGGATAGTTCGTAAATAATTGTTCGGTGCCTGCGAATCAGTAAGAGTATTCCTAAGAAGACTGTTGCAAATTAATATCTGTAAGGATTCAACTAACCGTATCTAGGTCAACAACCAGTTGCTGAGCCACACCGTGACTTTGAATTTGGTCAGAAACGACCTTGTTTCTAATGGCTCAACAACGTGCAACACTCAAACCAAGCAACAAAGGTAAATGTTTAACTAAAGTCAAACAATAGAAGCCATGACCATGAAGATTGAAGAACATAAAACGTGGTTAAAGGAGATCTGCGTAAAAGTTCAAATACGGGACAAGGAAAAAGAGCAAACACATAACATAACTATTCGATAAAGAACTTCGTAGAGATTTTCAGCGTATGTTTTCTGTTACAATACCTGTGTGGCAGAAAAAATTTTTTAAATGTTGTTACGCATTGCTTATAGTAGATTGAAAAATAATTACACATTCCATGGAAAAATTCTCTCAATTGTCTCTCCAGAGAGCCTGTAACCTCAGAGAGACCAGACACGGGCTCAAACTACATGGGGGTATGCAACCAAGTCATACGCTCTCCCTCTCTTCAAGAGACATTTATCTCTTGAACCAATCAAAGAGATGGACAACCAAATATGTGATAGGGCTAAAGCAGAAATCTTATGACGCCAGGCTTTAAACCTAGGATTATTCACTTTGAGCAACAAAAGAAAAGGAGGTGATCTCATAGTGGCACACAACATTATAAGTATGTCAAACCACCCGAACGCAAGCATATTAGCAGAACATAATCATTACGCTCTTCTAGGCAACTCTCGAAGTACTGAACATGAAATAGCGAACTCCCAGGCATACTCTCATGTTTCCTTGTGAGAAGCTGCTCTTATTCGGAATTCTTTACTTGTCGTAGTGACCACAGGCCCACCAGTGAACAGCTTTAGGAGGAGACCTGACACACACATACTCACCCATGAATCACCCTCCTCCTTTTAGAGCGAGTGTATCTAGTGTATGCGTCATAAACCACCATGATTTCTATCGCCGCATATCAGTAACTAGTTCCTATCTCTCTTATCATCATCTCTATTTCCCCTCTTATTCTTCCTATTCCGCCTTCGTACAAACCACCAATTGATTAAATTATTTGGTACTTTCTTGGTACTTAGACCACTAATTCATTGTTTTCAAACTGCAAACGACCTACTTCCTGCGTGGTTATGTGATAGCTCATCGTATCCAGAAACCTCATTGCCCTGAGACGAACGCACTCAATGAACTACAAGAGTTTATCAATCTTTATGAAACCGTGTGATGCTCATTAAGATTCTCTACCACCTCAAGGTGTGTAATTGAAGTCATCTGCAGAAAGCCTACTGCTGACATCGTGTACGACAATCGCATGCTGGAAGGATTATCCCGCTCTGTCCGTCTCGGATTCACCCATATGCTGATTCTAGAGGACCTCAATCTTCCTAAAGTCAGTTTTGCGGAACATACGTATAATAAAGGTGAAAACTCTACTGAAGCCCGGTTCTTCAAACTCATTAAGGATCAAAGATTATTCAAAAATATGAAGTCGGTGACTCGTTGGAGAAAGTCAGACGCCTTCCCGCTTAGGATGGGTATTTATAAAGAATTCCTACCTCACAATCGTGGCTCCCCCAGGGAAAAGCGACCGTGCCGTCACGGCCTTCAGTTTTATCACCAGAACTGAGATAATTCATCTTACCAAAAACAGGTGCTGGAATTTCAAACGCTTGGATCCGTCAGCTTTACGGAACAATCTACAGCAGATGAGCTAGGAAGTTCACTCTCAACTCGATGTGAATGCTCATTGGGATTTCTCACTGCACACGATTTTATGTGCTACAAAGCAGTCTGTTCCTTAAATGGTCTCCAAATTCTACAAGCAACCTACAGTCATCAAGAATCACACTCTTCGTTTGCTAAGCCGCAAAAGATACTGCTGGGCGGAATATAAACAAACTGATAACAACATCGCATACATGCAATACAAACAAGTAAGGAACATATGCCCAAAGGCAATAAGAGATGACAGGCTACAGTGCCAGATAAAGCTTATCGATAAATTTGTCTCGGATCCGAAAAGCTTATGCCGTGACGCAGCCTCTCTTCGACAAGTCAAAACTGGAGTTTTCCAACTGTTATATCCTGATGGCCCGACCAACAACGATGTGACGCCACTGACCTGGCTGAACAGTACCCTCAGAAATTTCAACCGACCCAGACTAACTGTGTTGATGAAAGCTTCACCTACAACTCCATAGGACTTTCAAAAGCGAATCTGAGCGCTGACATGGTGTATCGGGAACTGCGGCACCCCAAAAGGCACTTCTCCTGGTCCGGATATGGTCCATTCTGCTATACTAAGGAAAGCAGCTTCAATCTTGGCAAGACCGCTCAGAGTGATGTCCTCAGATTTGCGGTCAACCACACATGTCTTGCCAATAAGTTCAAACGATTAGGTATTAAATCACCTTTAATTGATTGGCACACTTCAAACCTAAAAACGTCAACCTTTTAAGGTCAGGGTTGAATTCACTTTCTCTCAGATTGTTGAATATCCTAGTGGGATTCCTCAGGGTTCAGTACTAGGACCTCTTCTTTCCTTGATTTATACAAACGATCTTTCACAACAGGTATCGTCAGACTTATTGCTTTTTACTGATGATGTGAAATTTTGGAGAGAAGTATGCAAGGAAGAGTATAGACTGGAACTTCATGAGGATCTGATTCGACTTCAAAGTTAGGCGGATGACAATGGACTTATCTTTAACACTTCGAAGTGTAACATAGACCATCTGAGACATGTTGCAGACTACAACTTGGGTAACTCTCCTGTGGAGGTATCCCAAGTTGAAAAATATTTAGGAGTGTTGGTACCCTACGATTTTGATTCTCATGCTGACTGCGACAACAGTGCCTTTCAAGCAAACCTTGCACTGGTAAAATTGAAGCGCATTTCAAGCCATTTCGATGGAAGAGCTTTCCACATTATCCTTAACAGTTTTACTCACCACCATTCAGAGTACGGAAACATAGTATTTTCTCCCTCACTCCAAAAGGATATGGACACTCTGCAACGTATCCAACGACGAGCCACGGAATCAGTTCCGGACTCAAATTCAAGCCCTATGAAGAGTACCTCTAACCACTGAACCTTTACCCATTAGAGTACAGGAGTCTTAGATGTGACCTAATAGCGTACAGCATCCTAAATGCTTCTGGATATCCCCTTAGACGCCTACTTAAGCTTAGTCCTAACACAAACATTAGGGCTAACAGCTAGAAACTGGAGACAGTACAGCAGAACGAACTGTAGACACACCTTTTACTCCTTAAGAGTAGTCAGATTATGGAATTCACTACCAGCTGAGCTGGTCCAAGTGACTTCCTAGGAGTCCTTAAGAGAAAACGTGACATATTCTTAAGGACCAATGGAAGTATCTTACTATGATTCACCATTTTTTCTTCATCTTTTATCGTTAATAGACCTAGGTTCCTCCCTGGAGGTATTGGTGATCCACCACTACTAGATACGGAAGTCCATTAGGCAAAAGCTTTTTCTATTCCGTCCAAAACTATTTGAACCATATGAAAATACACAAACCTACAAATAATCACCAAACCGACTAGAATAAATTCAGTCAAGCGTATAGACTACCAACTTGAAACAGTGCCGATACAACAAGAAGTGAGCGTAAAGAAAACATTTGATTTATCCAAGCTCGTAAAAGGATATTGGATTAGGGATACGCTCCGATACAACCATTCGAACCATTTGACTGGTACGTTACAGTTGGTTTTTGGCAAGTAAAAGTTTTAATATAGACAGAACTCATTTGATTTCACGACATAAAGTAAGGTAAGGATTAATTCATCTTTTGTCTTTGGATAAGTGTTGCCCATTATATTGAGATAAGCTGATAAAGAAGTATTTTTGTAACCTACCCGAGCTCCCAATTTGGAAATTTTGGGGAAATCATCAAAATGACCTTGACCGAGGTTAAAGGGGAATTTCGGGGAAATATTGGGGTTTTTGTGCCATTTCTCCAAAATCTCCTCAAAGTTTACTATAGCGGCTTCCCCAAAATTTCTCCGAAACTTCAAATTTTCCCCAAAATTGGTTGATTAACTATAGCTGATGTTTTATTGGTCTTTATGTCGAATCTCTACATGAAAAACATGTGAAGGCGAATAATTATAACTTAAAGTGTGTATAAACTCATCAAAATGCATATTAATTAATATGCATATACTGTTTTATTTTACTTAAGTAAAATAAAACAGTATGGTCGTCAAAAAATGTATCAATTTTTATAATGACAATAAAATACCATATATATTAAAATATGAGGGGCTTTTCCCTGAAATTTCCATAGACTCCAGGGAAAACTAAGAATTTTCATATGGCTTTGAGGAAAATCTAAAAATCAGGCGAAAAGCAGGTCGTTACTCCTTTTGGTTTGTTTGAACGTATAAGAGTTTCACTTAGATCCAGAAACGCTCATTAACTAAACAATTAGAGGTTTTTATTCTGTTGTCAATGTTCATGTTTCAATTACCAGCAGTTTACCACGCGAACATGTCAATCATGCACATCACTTATTATCGGTTTTCAACAATTTGGCATAATCATCCAGCTTCCCAACTATGTCTTAGGTGGGGAAAATTTAAAATTCTTGGCCGACAATATTAGGACATACAGTATTTAGTCACTGGATGACTAATTTAAGGCCACTAGGAATTTCAGTGAGCCAGATTCAGTAAATGTACTTCGTTATTTCTTGGGAATGGTGACTTTATTGCAACCTTTGTTGAACACTTTGAAGGGACATGTTAAAAACTTTATGTTTTCCTCAAGAGCCAAACTCACTTTCTCTCCCACAATAGCATTAAACTGAACAATAATGCTGTCTTACATGACCCCATCAATTTTATGTACCGACGCGTCACATATCAGTAGGCTCACTGTTTTGCTGAAAGGCTAACAACTAAATATGATCATCAGCGTTTTTCTTAGGGCATTAGATTCAGCCTGGATAATGGCTAACCAAATCGTATGTTCGAGCTCCGACTTTGCAACTCCGAGCTTTCACTACCTGAAGTTTTGTAGTAATGTTATATAATACAGGGTGCATTACACTGTCCTAGTGGTACGTTGGCTTTGTATTCACTGCGTATTGGCGGACAAGGTCATCAAAATTGTCACTTATAGGGGAGTGTTTGTCGTGATGCCATTTATGCACAGTAGTCCGAAAAAAATTACTTCAGTCATTAACTGGGTGCAGACGTTAATGGCTTTCCTTTGTTAACATCAGCTAGCAAGTGGTCAGAAAATTGGTTCCCAAAATAAAGTAGAGAACATCAACTATAATGAACATTTGACTGAAAGGACTTCTAATCCAGAGGCATGTAACTGTTCTCTGGAAGTTTTTATCGTCCTTTTTTACTGCATTCAATGAATACTTGCCACTATTTATTACTGGTCGTTTGGTTAGTGTAACTAGAATTAAGCTGATTATTGCGCCCTTGCACACCAAGAGGTGCGGATCTGAAATCTTATCCAGCACAAAGAAAAGGGGACTAGATAGTTGACAAGCAACAACCGTCACCATTACTACCTGTCCACACCGTTTCCTGACATGCGGAAAGATTTGAAAATTTGCATGTAGTAGCACTTTGTGACCTTTTTGCTACGCCTTTTATAGTAACACCATTCTCATTCTTTAACTATCAGGGTTTTAGGACACTGGCTCTTACCATTCTGGTTTCGGGACCCAGAACGGCCTATTCTTGCCGATGTTAGAAATAAACAGTCACAAAAGATCTAAATTCGACACTAGACTAGGAACATTTGTTATGTGTCGAATATGAAAACGTAGTAGCTGTTCAGTCAGCGATAAAATTTTCGGTCCTGGTGCATTATTCAGCATGTCCAATATCGTTTAAATGTGATATGCTACTTGTTTATTCCAAAATTATGTAAGTCTAACAGTGTTAGATAAACAGTCTGTTGAGGTCAGGTTGGTAGTCTCTGCATCCATATCTGTTTTGAAAACCCATCAACGTTGTAGGGATCAGTCAATTACTTCACTCGATGTAATAACTGGGACGGTTACCCGTCCCCTAGCCCGTACTCAATTAGTAGCTTCTGTGAGTTTCCATCTAACTTGATGGTGTGTTGAATGATCGTCTGCTTTAGCTCATCATATACCTAAGATAATGGAACATTATTTGTGGGATCTGAAATTTTCGTGGCTACCTTGGTAGATAATATTTCCAACACAACAGTGCCTTAAAGCCTATAGATGGATATTCTAGCACTGAAGCTGTACCTCAGCGTGTGTGAATTATGTTTCACGATTAAATCCACTAAACATACACCCATTCATAGAATTTAGTGCATTCAGCTCTGGTGATATGTTAGACCAGACACCCACAGGTGTGATTAATGTAATCAGGCTCCGACATAGCCATAAGGAAGTATGCAAAAACTATTACTACGAGTGAAATCAATGTAAAATTGTATATTCGTGAATTCAAAATTTCAATTTTAGAAAGCAATAGGGCTCATAAGATTTGTAGTTGCCCAAACACAAGGATCTAGTCAAATATATTGGTACATAAAAACCGATAGTTACATACAAGTGACAAAACAGGGAGAATTAAATTCTAAAGAAAGATGCATAATGAATGGCAAAACGGTAGTGAATATTACTTGAAAGTCTTTTTGAAAAGAAACCGGAAATAGGATCGTTTCACTGGGTCGATGTTCATCTATGTGCCGGGTGCATTTAACCAGTAATGAAAACATTGTCATGCATCTGCATTATTAATTAGTTATCGAGGTCTCTTGTAGCGAAATATCGCATCTTCCATAAAAATACTGATGATTTCGGTTTTTCCTTAGGTCAAAGGCATGTACTCTCTATGTCTCATTTGAAACATAATTATCTGTAATGTTAATTAAATCTACTAAAAGTCAACATTAAAAATATTGAGATCATACAACTATGTTGTATAAAGAATTTTAAACAATTAGAAACAATCCTTATTGTCTTTTAAGTTAATACAGAAAGTCGGAGATGAGGATTTCAACTGCAAAGTTTGTTTAAGATATATCACGGAATGTGATAGGATGGAGTTATTTTGCTAAAAAATAGGGTATTAAATGATTAAAATGAGTACGTTCTGTCAATAAAAATTGAAGCAAAATAAATAGTGTCAATAATGAAGTTGATCATTCTTGTATGTCAACTACCATCCGTTATTATTCTTAATTGTTTTCAGGGCTCTAAAGTTTTCATATAGTGCTACGGACCTTATTATGGTTAGTATTACTGTAATATGCACATTTTCGTCTTTCAAGGTTATTCATTATTGGGTTGTCTATTTTATGTAGGGTTAACAATGAAGGTTGGATGTATCAGACATACGGTAATCAATTCAAAATATTTTTTATAAAATAACATTCAAGATGCTTCTATGCTTACCTATGATCATATCGAAGCTTCCAATGTAATACAGTTAGCTAAGGAACTTACAAATACAAAACTACCAACAGATATTGAAGTAAGTAATAAATATAGTGTTAGATATCTTCATCAATGTTACTTCGTTTTTTTTTTGTCTTCAGGTGGAATGGCTGTTAAAAGCAATTTGCTTAATCGATTTAACCACATTAGCTGGGGATGATACACCTGTCAATGTACAAAGACTTTGTGTAAAAGCAGTTCATCCGCTAAGTGAATGCGTTTTGAATAAAATTGAAAATGCGTTCAATATGAACCTACAAGATTTAAGTAACAATCTGTTTTATATATTTTAACATATCTAATTATCTATCGAATAGGAACAGCTGCTGTATGTGTTTATCCATATCAAGTTAAAACATGTGCAGAAACTTTTAAGAAATTAAAATTACCAAATTTTAATATTGCTTCTGGTTAATTATCTTTTTAAATCTAATCTTTAACTATGATAAATACAGTTGCTACTGGTTTTCCTACTGGACAGTATCCTTTAGAAACTCGGCTATTGGAAATTAAATCAGCTATAAATGATGGAGCGAATGAAATTGATGTGGTAATAAATAGAACATTAGCTTTACAAGGTGATTGGGAAGGTAATTAACAATGTACGAAGTCTCTTTACTGTCCAATTCTTTCATTAAATTCAATGTCCATATAATTCATTATGCTTTCTTTACTGCACTCACATATAAGTCTACTATATATAACATAGAATTTGATTTTTTTGCGAAAGTAAAAAGTGGGGATGAGTATTTAATCCTACGACCGATTTTTGGTGTTTTAATACAGGAATTTAAAAAAATTGACGAACGTTGTGTATATCAGTTCACGAATTTCGAAGAAATGTATAATGGAGAGTTTTATTGGTTACTGATTACTGTGGTAATGTAACTTGACTTTGCTGTACTATATTGTCAATTAAACCGTCAACTCAAAGTCGCAAAGAAAGGCACACTTACAATAGACTACTTTTTGGTCTAGATCGAAAGACAGTATTTCAATTCTTGGAAATTCTATGACTTTAAGTGAAGATTTCACTGTTATTTTCTGTCGCAAGCGCTGCCTCACTTCTGTCTTTTGTATCGAAAATAAATCTTTCAACTAAGTTAAAAGAAGTGGAACGGTTCGTCTATGTCAAATCGAACGTTATTTAATCAAATTCACATGTATTCTGTCAAACTAGGATGAGATATCTGTCGAGTAATCTCTGATTCTCCGGCTGGAGACGATCTATGCTTAACTCTATTTTTAGTTCATATAACTATAGAACTCGGTTTGTACTAATTTTTATTCCACTCTCTCTTTCATTTTCCTAGTTGTGACCAATTTAGGCATTTGAATGGATTAGGTGATAATTTCTGCTATATTTGAGTTTAAAAGGTAATAGTAGGTTCACACCTTAAATATCTCCTAGTTCATATTTCATGGTTGTAGTTAAATGAATACTGCTGATATGTACCAAGAATTAGTGGTAAATAAAATTCACTTTGGTCCACTCTGCTAGGCGTATAACTTGAAAGGTTATCACGGAGTATCTTCCAAATATTCTCACATCTTTTGTTTTTGAATGAACTGTTATATCTCTGATATATTGTTGCACAAACAGTAAAGGATTTCATAATAATGATCACGATGATATTTTTAAAACTATGGTTATTTAAAGTGTCTTTTACACTAGTCAATTCCTCGAACAACTTGTTTATTAGGTGTAATTTCATTGGAAACTTAGCCGAGTAGGAATGTCTATCATCCATCTTCGTTTGTGAATGTTTAATTATGATATCAGCTTAGAATTTAGTCTTTCCTTCAACAATCCGTCTTATCGTCATTACCAGATTATCATGCTAGACGTGTGTTAACTGGTCATACACATTTGACACATTGTTTGGCCTAAACAAAGCTTTATTAGAATTATGGAGCTTGACAAATTGAGTGAAGTTTTAATTGACAGACCAATACATAATGCAGTGGAGTAACCGAAGTTAAAAAACAAAACTTTATTCCTTATTTGTTCTTATGATTTTCTTATTTCACTGATTATTAAAAGTTCGTAAAATCTTTCTCATATTCTAGGAGTTTATAATGAAGTATGTGCGATGCGTAAAGCTTGTGGTGATCAAGCACACTTAAAGACTATTCTTGCTACTGGTGAATTAAGCAGTTATGATAATGTTTATAAGGCTTCAATGGTTTGTATGTTAGCTGGAGCAGATTTTATTAAAACATCTACTGGAAAAGAAACAGTCAATGCAACACTCCCAATTTCATTGGTTATGGCTAGAGCTATTCAAGATTTCAATGAAGTATATGGCATCAAGGTAAAGTTAGAAACTGTTCTGTTGGCATAGCGAAGATGTTTATGGATTTCGCTTCGTTAAATTCAGTTTGTAGTCAGTGGATGAATTTTTTTCGTCTAGACTAAATACTTAGTACCGAACTTCTTAGGATTACATTTACTGCTGTTGTAGGATCTATTAATAGGTTACAGAGTAGTTATCTTCGCTAATAATCATCTTCATAGTAAATAAAGTATATGGTTGTGTTTATATGTGTTTGAGCTTTATCAGTAGTAATTTTTTTCCGATAGCAGTCTAGCTATGTATACTTTGACCGACAGTTTGTAGGCTAAAGGATAACAGTTTCAACTATTGAGTTACGAGTTCCATTTACACCTTAATTTAGGTAATCAAAGAATATCCACTAACTATTAACTCATTTATCACGTACAGATTCGCGTTCTCGTGAAGGTTAGTAATACGTGGTTTCCGAAACTGAGGTATTTTGGTAGGGTTTGAACTTGCGACTTCGCTAGTGAACGTTGATCTCTTTAACTATTGAGGTACCAGTTAAGTCTGGATAATTAAGTAATGATGCGTACTACTACCTCACACCAAGCATAGCTTAAAGTCAATTTTTTAAAATTTGTACTTAGTAAATAAGTTGAATTAAAGTCTAAAATATGCTTCCTTGTGTTAAAGACAGAAGTTATAGAGGAAATATCGTATGTTTTGTTTTTATTCTTCGTGATTAGTTAACCATAACGACAATATCTGAAAGAAGTTAAGTTGGAAAACTGATATTTTTTATATGTAAGAACAAGAATCAGAATTGAACTGTTCTGCAATCCTCATGATTCATTCATATCATTATCAACAATTTCAATTGGATTACACACTCTAAAGTCCAACTATTTCGTTTTCTTATAAGAAAAAAAAACACAAACTTCGTATGATTGTGTCATCTAGACTTGTTAGTTTACATCAAACTGCCAATCTGATCGAGATTTACTAGTAAACTGATGGCTGGATTATTTTTGATGCAATGCCATATGCCTCAAAATACTAAGCTGACTGTAGGCAGTAGAATTAGATTGTAAATAGAGTATAAAATGTGATTATGATTCATAAAGTCACTGTTTTATGATATGAGTTTAGCAAAGTTGTGCAGATTTCTTGAATAAGATCTTTGTAATAACAAGACTGAGTGGCTTTTTACCCTAAATTTCGTAACTTAGAATAATTCACAAAGGGGAACATACGTTCAATCTTTGTCTTAATAAAAATATTATTTTTTTTAAAAATCTTGGTATCGCTTAGTTTGAAATTTGTAAAGTCTGGCAGCTTAGACTTACGCTTGATCATATAAGGTGATTCTATGTGTTGACTTTTCTGTCTGAATAGTGTGTTTACTGAATGAATGCTTTACACTACATATTTTCATACGTTATATATAATTACGTTTAGAAAATTGGTTTATTACAGTGTTATATTTTGCATAGAGGATTTTTTATTGATGCGTCGTGTATCAATAGTCCGGTCTATTTATTTCTCGTAGATCCCGTTTGTATGAAAAAAATTGTTCGATTGTTTTCCATCGAACCCTTACAAAATAACTCACTAATATTAATAATAATAATGATAATAATAATAATATTGATAGAGATCATGAATCGACCAATGTTAGACCACCATTGAACACCTGAAAGTACCGGACAGCCGTTTCATACTAGTATAGGACTCCTAAATAGTGCACACTCACAATCCTGCACGTGGGATTCGAACTCAGGACCTTCGATCTCGCGCGCGAACGATTAACCCCTAAACCACTGGGCCGAGTGTGAAGCAGTTACCTACCGAAGACAATTGAAGATGATAGTCGCTCAATTCCCTGAATTGACTGAAGTTAGTTATTAACCCCGATGGATGCCAGTCCAACGGTCTAGAGGTTGATTGTTCGCGCGCGAGACCGAAGGTTCTGGGTTTTAGTTGAGCATGCGTGATCACGGATGCGCACTACTGAGGAGTCTGATACTAGGACAAAACGGTCATTCAATGCTCCCAGGTTTTCAATGGTTGTCTAACATTGATCGATTCATGATCTCAATCACAATTCAACAATCTACACAACCTTATACTAATAATAATATTAATGGCAATTGATTATTAAAAATAATATAATGCTATATTTGTATGAGATTTTCATGAACTTTAAATGATACATTTGAGGGTGATCAGTTCAACTTTGTTTTATTGATCTTTTTTTCGGTTCATATTTACATTTTTATTTTTATTTCAACAAATAAATATTGGTACAAGAGTGCACCAAATATATATGCGCCACACCATATTTGTGTGTGTGTGGGCTGTGATACTCCCCGGGTGCCCAGACCGAAGCAGGTGGTTTCCTTAGAGAGCCACACCCCGAGCCTTTGACCTAAAGGTTTGATCCACCAGGCAGTGGGGCATCGTGAGGAGATGCAGTCCCATGGTAGCCGGTAACCAACGATTGGTTCGTACGCCATTTGTTCCTTGATGATACTGGAGTCCATGTGCACCATTGGTTTAGAATCCGGTTAAAGTGCCAGACATTCGCTTTTCGTCCTCTCATTTTCGTAAACAACACCCCCTTGACGAGAAGGCAGTGAGTAGGACTTTCCTGGCAGAGGCTATATACGCGTGGCCGTGTGAGAGCATTTCGAGAGAAAGGGCGGGCCAACCCCACTCTCGGCCTATGTATACATATTTATCAATACATACATACAAAAGGTAATTGAAATGGACTATTGACCCCAGTAAAACAATCTTTTTTTTCTATTTTTTACTAAATTATACAATTATATGGTATTTATTTATTGTATGTAGTATTGCGCTCTAACATGATGTTGTGTTAATATTAATGTGTAGAAGTTTCTAAACACTTGAAATTCTATGTTTGTCATTCAACTTGTATATTAATCACTGTTTAAGAAATAGTTAAAACTATGTACATGATTTAATTGCATTCAGTTACATTGATTCATTTAATAAATCACATTCATTTTAATGGATAAATAACTTCAATCTTGATAGGTTACATGGTTTTTATTTTTCCTAGAGAAAATAAAACAACTGTAATTCTACTGATTAAATTGATTCAAGTAGTATATATATATATATATATATATATATATATATATATATATATATATATATATATATATATATATATATATATATATGCGCTACACTTTTTTTCGAGATCGTTTAGATAGGACAGAGTTTCCACCATAGGTGAGCTGCTGTATAAGTTGGAAAAAAGGATACATAAAGTGGGAATAAAAGAGTATATTAGTGACGTGGTATTTTTATTATTTATTTATTTGAACACATAAATATTGGTACAAGAGAGCGCCAATATATATGCGCCACACAAAACAATGAAAATTCGAAGAGAAATAGAAAGAAAAAAAAAACTAGGGAACGCAAAAGAAAAAGAGAACAATGACGAAGAGATTGGAGTAAGGTAGTGTGGTAGTAACGACGGAACGAAAAGGTACAATCAGAAGAAATCTTTCAGGTAAAGGAGACACAACCACTTTTTAGAAAGAAAGTAAAAGAAGGTTACAGCAGGATCGCCACTGGCTTCTATTCTGAGCCATATCTGATAACGTCTCTAGCCACTGTGTAGCACCATCTCTCGGACCCCAACCAGGGAGTCGTGAAGGACCAACACAAGCCAGTCCTTTGCAGCTTTCTTTCATGCCACGACACCATGTCATGCACTGACCACCTCTCCGCCTCTTCCAACCAGTCCCAGAGTCGGCAAATAATGCACGACGTGGAATTCTCTGGGACGACATTCGGAGAACATGTCCAAGCCACCGAAGTCGGTGTTTCAAGATGGTGACACCAATTGAGTTATCATCTCTGTGCCCGAACACACGATGCCGAACCTCTGCATTACTGACATGGTGTTGCCACTGAATGTCAGCAATCCTTCGGAGACAGCGATGATCGAACACAGAGAGTCGTCTAACGTCCTCAACTCGGAGAGGCCAGGTTTCACAAGCATAGAGCAAAACTGCTCTCACCGACGCGTTGTAGATCCGACCTTTTACAGCCAGACTAACATCACGAAGGCGCCAAAGGTGGCCCAGATTGGCATAAGCCGCTCTGGCTTTCACTATTCGTGCATTGATCTCATCACTCACACCCCCACCAGCACTTATGCAGCTACCCAGATACACGAACTTCTCAACTACGTCTATCTGCTCACCGTCCAGGGTGAGTACAGGATTAGAATCCTGCCAGTCTTGTAGAAGTACTTTGCACTTCGAAGGTGCAAAGCACATACCATACCTACGGACACTGATTGCCAACTGATTAAGTGCGGATTGCATGCCTTGGGCATTATCGCACAGTAAGACAATATCGTCCGCATACTCAAGGTCGAGAAGTCTTTCTCCAGGCAACAGATCCACACCACCATTACTTACATTCATCAGAGCTGTTTCCAGAATGTCATCGATGGCAAAGTTGAAGAGGAATGGTGAGATTGGGCAACCCTGCCTAACCCCACTGCTCGAATGGAACAATGGAGAGAGGTGGTTGTATGCCCTCACTCTGCCTGAGGTGTTTTTATACAGGGCTTTCAGGATGTTAATAAACTTCTCAGGCACACCCTTCTTCAATAGACAATCCCAGAGAACAGTCCTGTCCAACGAATCGAAGGCAGCCCTGATGTCAAGAAACACTACGATTGTTGGCCTTTGAAAAGTATGGCGGTGTTCTAACATTTGGCGGAGGGTGAAGATATGATCAATACATCCTCGACCAGAACGAAACCCAGCCTGCTCCTCGCGAGTCAATCTTTCTCGGGTTTTGAACAACCTACGAAGAATGACGGAAGCCAATAGCTTGGACGCAATCGGAAGTAAACTTATCCCCCGATAGTTGTTACAGGAACGACGTGAACCCTTTTTAAAGATAGGGACAACTATCGACTCATTCCATGACGTTGGTACACACTCTAGTTCCCAAACCTTTGTAAACAACGTCGTCAATTCCTTAGTCAAAAAGTCACCACCATCTTTAAAAAGAGCCGGAGGTAAGTCATCTGGGCCAGGTGATTTGTAACGCTTCAAGAGTTGGAGTTCCTTGCGGACTTCCTCCTCATTTGGTGGATCAGTCGTCACCGGCCATGGAGGGCAGGACAGTCTGACCGATGTTGCCGGAGCAGCAGGCCAGTTGAACTGCCCTTCGAAAAATTCTGCCCATCGTCCAAGACGTCGATGGATGTTAGTGATTGGCATCCCATCATCCTCGCAGATTGTTTCACTCACACCAGACTTCTTGCTGCCAGTGGCTCGGATGAGCTGGAAGAGCTTCCGGTAGTTACCAGATGCAGCTGCTGCTTCCAGCTCATTAGCACGCATCGACCACCAGGCTTCTCGGTCCTTACGCAAGCTTTGCCCAATCTCCTTACGTAACATCCTTCGTTTATGGTCAAACTCACGGTCACCCGGAGTAGACCGACGGGCTTCAATGAGTTGTAAGGAACCAGAAGAAACCCAGTGCTTAAAGCGGGACGTTTCGCAAACCCACAACTGACTGTTCCCGCCATTTTCATGGCGTCATGCAATTGCAACCAATGCTCATCTATACTTTTCGGTGGAGTGGTAGCTAGCCTAGAGGCTAGCTCGGTTCGATACTTACTTGCAACAGAAGTTGCAACCAGCTTGCTAACATCAATCCGTTGATGGCGTTCACTTCGTTGTCCACTGAAAAGTAAGGCAAGATTGGCGCAGACCAAGGCATGGTCAGAGTCCAGATAGGTACTCCAAAAGGAGCGGCAGTCTTTACACAACCACGCCAGCGGTAGCTGATCGCGATGTGATCAATCTGAGTCCAGGCTTGAGATGCAGAGGGAGGACGCCAGGTGGCACATCGGCGATGACTGTGCCGAAAGTTAGTGCTAGCCAGAAACAGGTTGTGGTCTGTGCAAAGTTGCAGTAGACGGTCCCCGTTATCTGACCTGCGACCAACGAGTCCCCATCGGCCACCTAAACGACTCTCTTCTGTGCCTAGACGCCCGACCTGAGCATTCAAGTCTCCGGCTAGTACTACAATATCTGTCGAACGCACTTTCTGGAGAAGAACTGATAACTGGTGGTAAAACTCATCCTTGATTGCATCCGGGCTGCAATCTGTCGGGGCATAGGCGGAGATGACGAAAAGACATCGTTTCTCACGCCGATTTCTTCTCACTTTGATGGAACTTTCTAATCTAACAGCACATAACCGACTGTTAATGGGGATCCAATCGACTAGTGCTGCCTCAGCTCTAGCGCTTAGTGCGACACCAACGCCAGCAAGACCAGACGAAGATGCCACAGGGTCCCCGGATAAGCGCACGTAAAACAAGCTTTTCGAAGCGACAGATGGAGATCGAATTTGTAGTACTTCGCCAGAGTCTTGAATACGGGTCTCGGATAGACAACACACGTCGATATTAAGACTTTCCAAAGACATAGCCAGCCCTATCTGTTGTCCGACCTGCATAAATGTGCGAACGTTGAAGGCAGCCAGTTTGAATGGTGCACGTGGTTTCAGAAAATCTGCTTCAGTCCTCGTATTCGGTGGTAACATACAATTTTCAACCGGACAGTGACTCGAGAACGTTTAGATACAGTCGGATTTCCACCAAAGACGAGCCGCTGTATAAGTATAAAAGAGGGTGAATAATGTGGAAAATAATAATAATAATGATAATAATAACAATAATGACAATAATACTAGTAATAATAATAACAGTATTAATAATGACAATAATTGTAATGATAATAATCTGAATCAATTGTTTGTTTTTCAAAGCAAGAAAGGTAATTTCCATAGGCATAAAGAGTTCATCAATTTGTGTGTGGGCTGTGATACTGCCCGGGTGCCCAAACCGAAGCAGGTGGTTATCTTAGGGGGCCACTCCCCGAGCCTTTGACCTAAAGGTCTAACCCACAAGGCAGTGGAGCATCGTAAGGAGATGCAGTCCCATGGTAGCCGGTGACCAACGATTGGTTCATACGCCATTCGTTCCCGCAGGATACTGGAGCCCATGTGCACCATTGATTTGGAATCCGGTTAAAGCGCCGGACATTCGCTTTTCGTCCTCTCATTTTCGTAGACAACACCCCCGCCACGAGAAGGCAATGAGTAGGACTTCCCTGGCAGAGGCTGTATACGCGTGGCCGTGTGAGAGTATTTCGAGAGGGAGAGCGGACTCTCCCCACTCTCGGCCGTACCAGGGCATTCAGGGGTATATATAAAAAAAGAATGTTATCAAGTGGATATGAGTTGTCTGAATTTTAATTAGAACAAGAACAGTATTTCTAGTAAATATTGTCATTTCCTTTTATTTGTGTATGGGCTGTGATACTTCCCGGGTGTCCAGACCGAAGCAGGTGATTTTCTTAGGGGGCCACACCCCGAGCCTTTGACCTAAAGGTCTGACCCACAAGCTAGTGAAGCATCGTGAGGATATGTAGTCCCATGGTAGCCGGTGACCAACAATAGGTTCATACACCATTTGTTCCTTGATGATACTGGAGCCCATGTGCACCAATGGTTTTGGAATGAGGGTTTTCCAACTCCCCTAGGTTAACTCACTGTGTCCACCGGCCCGGTTAAAGCGCCGGACATTCGCTTTTCGTCCTCTCAATTTCGTAAACAACAGTAGTGCCACGAGAAGTCACTGAGTAGGATTTCTCTCGCAGAGGCTGTATACGCGTAGCCGTGTGAGAGCATTTCGAGAGGGAGGGCAGGCCCTCCCTACTCTCGGCCGTACCAGGGCATTTGGAGGCGTCACTTTGTTAAATTCATTTTGATATTTGATGGATGATTTAGTTTTTGATAAGTCGTATTATCTTTATGTATAGATGATGGTTTTCACTTCCTACTTATTGTTCAATCATTGGAAACTAAAAATTATTTAGTAACTATTTCATCATAGTATTGGAATTCTCATCAATGAGCGTTCTAAGCTTCACAGGGAGGAGGTTAAACTCTAGACTTTCAGGTTTCAGGGTAGCTGCTTAAGCTTTAGGTCCCTGAGTCAACATTCAACAATTGACATTTTTAACGTAAAGTTTGAAGGTCTTCAGTTCGAACCCCAGTAGAAGTCTTAAGTGCATGTTGCTGAGAAGCTCCATACCAAGACAAAACAGCTGTCTGGTGCTTTCTGGTTTTTCAATGGTTATCTAACTAGGGTCAGTCAGTGATGTAAACTATAGAATTTGAGTTTCCACAAGTTTTTCATACTAATAATACTCAATCATTTAATCAGTTGTTTTATCTTTTAGTATTTACGTTTAATTGAAATTTTGGGAAAGGTTCCGTAAGCGCGTTATTCATTGAATCTTCCAAATCTTTTACTCAATCATAACACATTTTAGCTTTGCATACAAACTATTTCATATATTAATGTCTTCGCTTAGAAATCGTCCATGATATTACTCATTCATTTCTGAAGCTGATCAAAATACTCACTTAATATTTTACTGCCTTGAATTCCTTCTATGAACAAGTGACCGGTTCGACTTCAGTTATTTTAGCATTTTTATCAAGTCAGCTTAGTAGTTATTAAACATACATAAATCGGTCAACTTACATTAAAAAATGTTATGTACATTCACTTTTTATTACCCATTAACTATCAGTCTAATTGAAAAGTTTCGTGGGAATTTATTATATTTGTAGTTGTATTCGTCACAGATAGTCTCATTTAGTGTACCATTAACGGCAGGGCTCATAGGACGACTGGTTTATCTCACTAGTGAGCATACTCGACCCACTTAGGGATCATCGAATTATATCCTGAATTAAACTGTACTATGGGACTTGATATAACGATTCTAATGGTTACCATTCACAGAGACCTGAAGGTTCTGGATTCGGTCGTATGAATGTAGTGAGTGTCCACTTTTGAGGATTCATACTAGAACGAAACCGTTGTCCAGTGCTTTCTTGTTTTTCAATGTAACCTCAATTGTCATCAATTTGTAATCAATACAATTTATCAGTTTAAATGTTTGAATCAACTATTTAAACATTTACTTTTAATACTTATTCCTTAACAAACTATTTAGGTTGGTTTCAAACCTGCCGGTGGTCTTCGTACAGCTAAAGATGCCCTCGATTATCTCCAATTATCGATAATGTTCTTGGCTCTGATTGGATAAATCCAGATTATTTACGATTTGGAGCTAGTTCATTATTGGCCAATATTGAAACCCAACTATACAGTCTATGCCATAATGGTTTAATACCATTACCTGGTGAATTAGACTTTTTCTAATTGTTGATTACCTTCTTTTTCTCTCTTGTTTTCTTTCAATTTACTCGATTTGATTATTTTTAATGATTATGTTTGCCTTAATTTTGTTGTTGTTGCTGTTGAAAATAGGTCGTTTCTATCAATTTTTTTTAAAAAAATATTGATAAACCAAACGCTATTTATATTTTGTACACATTTCGTTTTGACTATAAAAAGAATACAAAGAGTTGTGGTGATAGAAGTAAAGAGGAAAGCAAAACAAAAAAATACAACAACTGTATGTTTAGTCAATAGTTTTTTTTGTTTAACGAAAAAAAAGAAATAAATGACAAGGGGTTCCTATTTACGGTTATTCTCATTTGTTCCTTGTCGATTTTCATTGTGAATCCCTCTGACACTTACTTTTTAGGTTTGTGTGTATCACACATCCATATATATATATATATATATATATATATATATATATATATATATATATATATATATATATATATATATATATACTTGGAGAGAAAGGTCAGAGGACGAAACCAAAGTGAAAAAACTTAGGAAAGTTAATAAAACCATGAAGTACAGTAATGAATGAATAGAAAAAAGAAACAGAACAAAAAAGAAGTAAATCTATAATAAACAAAAAATCAATACATTTTATCACATTATATACCTTTTATTTTCTACATATTTCTTCAAAATCTTCTTTCTATTAATAAATATTATTGTGAACATTCAATAATAATGATAATAATCCAAGATAATTGTATATTATATTCGATTAATCGATATAGAAACATGTGGATGTGTATGTATGTATGTAAAAGATTAAGATAATAATGAGAAATATATTAATATATGATTGATTGGTTGTCGGCTTTAAGTAGTATTCATCATAATACGTACACGAGAACATGTACCTGGTCATACTTTTTTCTTCTTCTTCTTCAAATAACTATTATAATCCCTATGATATACACTTATTGAGAATGATGTTTGAATGTGTTTATAAAGTTAGATGGAAATCATGAATACAGGAACAACAATAAAATCAAAGAGATTAGATTACACACATACAACAAATATAAATGAAGTCAATCAGAAAATGATGATCAATCTGTTCTCCTATCGTCTTTTAATTATTAACTATGATTATTGAAATACTTGCAAAAACAAATATAAAGAAAGATAATACACATAAAACATCGTTGTTATAGTGATGGATAGTAATTGCATTTTTTCCTCTCTCTCTCTCTCTCTACAATGCGTGTACATGAAACAATGTAAACCATTAATGAAAAATGATAGGTTTCTCTGAACACATTTTTCCTCCCCTTTAAATTTGTCTGTCACTTGTAAATATTATGATGTATATGTCTTTCAACTTAAGGGATAGAAAAAAAAACTGTAATAGAGATCAGGAAATGCGAAAAGAAATTGAGCAATGTTATATATATGGTATGAAACTAAACGCATATAAGTACAATAAATACATCATGAAATGTGAGAAGAATTTTCAACTTTTACTCTCATGGAAGTGTGTATAATAGAGAGAAAGCCAGAGAGAGAGAGAGAGAATGAGGTGGATATAATCGTCGTCAGTGTTCTATCAAGACGTAAAATCCTTTTGCTACTCGCAGAGAGAGAGAGAGAGTGAATGAATGAAAAAGTACAAGATGGTTAATATATGATATTTTTTGATTATTTATTCATAAACATATCGGATACAATAGAGGATGAAACCAGATTATAAAATGGTAAATAATACTAGATTTTCAATAAAAGATCATAAAATTTCAATGTACATCAACATATATATATATATTTGCAATGTTAATTGTTTCTATGTGTTTTATGATATCGCTATTCATTTAACATATAAGAGAGAGAGAGAGGTAAGCTTATTCATCACTAATTAAAAATTCAAAAATAATCATTATGAAAAAGAAAATCTATGTAAAAATGTATGGGAACAGGGAAACAATTCCAAATGAATGATCAATAAATGATATATTATTTGATATAAATCCAATTCAGAAATGCAGAATTCAAATAAGTGTATATATACATGATGTGATTTAGTGGTTTTGATCAAGTTATTCATTCATCATTTTCTTCATTATTATTCTCATTAATTTGATTATAATACCATTCACGATTGTCTTCTAATGTTTCTAAAATAGTTTGTGCATCCGGATAAACTAAATCCGACCATGTTTCCCATAATGGATGAACAATGTAATCAATAAAGCTGATCTATTAGGTACGTGCATGTATGTACAGGATATATAACAGATTTGTCAGTAAAACGGCAAATTTTATTCAACAGTGGTGGTGGGAGTGATAAAAGAGTAACCGAAATAAAAACAAACAAAAATCGGAAAGAAGAGCATTATAGAAGAAGCGGAATTTTTTTAAACATAAAAGTTTAAAACGAGATTTAGTTCTGTATTATATTTTTGGATAGCGACTATTATTGGAATCAAGGATAGACATTTTGTCTTATTCGGAAATCTGAGTGCAACCGCTAACTAGTTGGCTGGGATAACCTTTTGTAATAGCAATGTTTTCTGAAATAGTCGTTTCATCAGTTCCTATACTAAAAAGGCCTGTTGGAAAACGGGAGATTTTGTAGTGTCTGGTACTATGTCAAGCCCACATGAGTTGCCCTAGATTCCGGACAGACCGGTTTATTCGAGCCACATATTGAACTTGTTGATTATTTGCTTATTAACCTTGACTGCCTTTATATATGAGTGTATATGTGTGGATTGCTTATCCTACTCATCACAAGACTGTAAATACTGGGTCACGCTTGGTTAAATCGAGTTGGCTCACTTGCTTTCTTCGCTTTGCTTTCTCCACTTCGTTTCTCTGATGGTCTGTTCTGATTAACGAGTCTATGAAATACACGTATTCAAAATTCATTCTCGTATTTGACTTATTTAGTCCCGTTATTCACTAACATGAATCAGGTCGATAATTATATACGAGAGTAGCTGGGATGTAAATTTCGGTAACATCATCATACAATTAAATTCAAGTTAGATCAAGGCCTACAAAAGTGGTAAGCCCAACTTCAAACTAAAGGCAACCCGAAAAACTACACAGATGATAAATATTTCGCACTCTATGCATCCAATGAATGAACTTCTTTTGTTCATCCAAATGATGTATGGAAAAACGCATATTTTAGTCTAAAAGGTACAATAAATTTCTGTGGAGTTGTTGATACGCATTGTTGTCGATTATCAAAAATAGCAATCTTGTTGAGATAAGGGGGACTGTTACTGATTGGCCTTAGAGATTTAACATGTGTTTAGATTGTCTGATGAGGCCCAGGACAGAGTGGGATAGAGAATGCTGTTCGGCGGCTTATGCTCCATTGGGAGTAACAGGCGTAAGTAAGTAAGTAAATCTATCCACCCAAACTAGATCTGACCTGGTATTTGATGGGATGGGAGAATTTAATGACTAGTCAAATTCGATCATAAATTCTTGATGAGTGTTTCTACATTACTGATAAAGTTTTTCGACGTTTGCATGGAAGCTCCTTGCATTTGGTAAGTTTAATTTGGAGAATTGTGTAAGTCCCACGCAAAAGGTTAGCGAACTGAGTATTTTATTCAGTAGAGAAGAATGATAAAATATTGCTCTCTTTATGGTGTAAGTGTAATGATGATCTGATTTGATTTCTTAATAGTGATGGTGTGGAAAAATGGCAGAATTCATACTAATAAACTAAGTATGAATACTTTGTCTAATACTTCTTAAGAGAATATCAAGTGTACCATGATGTAGACAGTGTTGTATTAGTTGTCTCTGTGAAAGACTTATATTTTCTCAAGTTAGTCTAAAGTGTTATATTCGTTATTCATTAAATTGACAACAGCGATTTACTTCATTCATCATCATACTGAACAAGGCTATTGCAGTGGTACACAAGTGTAATAACTAACAGGACTGAATTGAGGAGCTGAAATGCTATTCAATTTTCTATTATGCCCTGGTACGGTCGATGGTGGGGAGAGTCCGCTCTTCCTCTTGAAATGCTTTCACATGGCCTCGCCTACACAGCCACTGCTAGGGAAGTTTTACTACCTTATTGTGAAGGGGTTCTGTTTACGAAATTGAAAAGAACGAAAAGAGAATATCTGGTGCCTTAACCGGGTTGACCGATACGGAGGATCCACCTAGGGGAGTTGGAAAACCCTGGTTCCAAACCAATGATACACATGGGCTTCAGGATCTTGACGAAAAAAAGGCTAATGGACCTATTGTTGGTTACCGGCTACTATGAGATTGCATCTTCTAACGTTGCTCCGTTGCCTTGTGGACTAGATCTTTAGATCAAAGGTTTGAGGAATGACCCCCTAAGAAAACTATGTGCTTCGGTTTGGGCGGTCGTACTGTATTTTAGACCCCACACAAATCGAATAAAGTGTGGTATATATATATATATATATATATATATATATATATATATATATATATATATATATATTTGATGCTTCCTTGTATCAATGCTTAAATGTTTAAGTAAATAACATCATTGACCAATATACAATTGACATGATATTGTCACTTAAGATCTAGTATATTTGTGAACTTGTGTTTATAGGGTATTTAACTCATTAAATATTTACGTGAATTTTCTTTTTCTAACACAAATTGAATTCAATTAATACCATCGTTAAATAAGTCAAATAATTGAAAAGTTTAAATTAGCACAAATATTAATCAACGTATGATCACTAGTGACTGGCTTCACTAGGTATATCCTGGAGTTCTAGTGAGAAGCAGTGACCTGTGGATTTCAACCGGGTCTGTTGTGAGATAGTAACTCACTGAAGACAATGGTGAATGTGTCGCTCAATTTCTTGGATTAGTTGCAGTTAAACATTAACACCGTTGGATGCCGGCCGGGTCAGTGGTCTAGTGGTTAAGTGCTCGCGCGCGAAACCAGTAGGTCCTGGGTTCAAATCTCGCGAGGCGACGTCGTGGGTGAGCACTTCCGAGGAGTCCCACAATCGGACGAAACGGCCGTCCAGTGTTCTAGGTTTTCCATGGTGGTCTAGCTTCAACTGACTCATGATCTTAACCATTGAAAATTTCTTTTTCTAACACAAATTGAATTCAATTAATACCATCGTTAAATAAGTCAAATAATTGAAAAGTTTAAATTAGCACAAATATTATATCCTATGTATGTATCATATAAATTACCTGTGATTTTTCAATAGTTGCTGTATTTCGATCACATATTGGACTTATTTCAATGCCTAATTCACGTTCTTTATCACCTTGTTGAAAAAGTTCTTCCATAACACGATTAGTCCATTGTCTATACAAATCTAATGGTTTAGCTGGATTACTTAAATCAGCACAATGTACCATATTTTGTAAAATCTAATGGACAGATAAAGAGATGAATGTATAAGACTAAATAATAAATGTACTTTGATGAGTAGACAATATGATTTCAAAAGGATGGATGAATTCGTAGAATAGAAAAGTAGAAGATAATTTTATAAATTAAAATCTGGGTCGTTGCAACCGATTCGAAGGTATGTAACCCAAATTATTCAACCAATGGTTACAATAATCATAATGAGGATCGTGACCTGGCATTCTTCATTGATCAACACAGCTCAATGCAACAGTCAATAACTTCATAGGGTGATGCTACATCTTAGATTTTTCCTCTCTTATCTTTTCTTTCTGCCTATTCCTATATCGATCAAGTAAATATTTCTGGTCTATTGTAACTGATTAGAAGCTACGTAACGCGATTATCTTGCTAATCCAAACCAAGCAAAGTTTTCTTCTTTGTTTATGATTGATTCTTGTTTGCTTAAGTTTATTAGTTAATTTATAATCATAGTCATTTATTTATTTATGGATTCATATCAAAATATAAAATTTATAGACTTAAGAAATAATCTACAACTCTGTGACAAGAAGAAATGTTTGAATAATTTGTTGCTTGATCAGTTGACATTACAGTTTAATAGTCTAAGCAATTAATGTCTCAATAGCAAATTTAGTCGTACAGTATCATCAACACTCAAACTATGCTTATTTTATATCTGAGAACATGTATCTATACTTGGATGCTGATTTACATTCATGTATTGTTGTGAACCATTTAACTTTTATTAATGAAAAAAGTTTGTAGAGATTGTTGAGGATCATAGTTGATGATGTTACGAACTGATCTCAGCTAGACAACTATTGGAAACCAGGAAGCACTGAATAACTATTTCATCCTGTTATAGGTTTAATCTCGGATAGAGTCGTAGATTTATACTGTTGAGGAGTCCCATACTATGATGAAATATATATCAAGTACATTGTTTTTTTGTTGTGAATAGTTGTCTAACTAAGATCACTTTGTCATGTAAACTTTAAAAATCACCTTTTAGTCTTATGAGATTTGATTTTTTTTTTAAAACTCTGTGTTAATAAATACAGACATAATTTCATTCTCTAAACACTCCTGATCTTAGAATCTAAAGTAATATGTTTAAAAGGTATTGAAAGATAACTTGTTAATTAGTTGTAAGTTGCCTTTCATGATCTTGATCAAACGATTAGTTCAATGTAATGTCTAAAAATCCTTAATTACTTGATCATTATGTTTAGGAAAGTTATACCTTATCTTTTGTAACAGAGATCGACTATTTTAAGCAAAGATGGATAGTGGATAGGAGTGGAATCCAGGACGCGCGTTTCGTTCTATTTGGGACTCGTCAGCTGGATGTACCTGCATCCCAGAGTTGATGTTCACTCCGGGACTCGACCCCAGCAGCATTCGCTTCAAACGCCATCGCGTTATCCACTTAGCTACTAAGTTCTGATAGCCACCTGCTTGTGCGATGGGGTGAAGTTTAAATTCACTTGTTGTTTTACTTATATCTTTCCATTGTTATTTAGGACTGCAATTGATCAGTCTCATGTTGGCATATGTGAATACTGTGCGGATTGCCTCGACATAACCTTAAGTCACAAGCTTTTTAAGCAAAGATGGATAGTGGTTAGTAGTGTAATCCAGGACGCGTGTTTCGTCCTATTTGGCACTCGTCAGCTGGATGTACTTGCATCCCAGAGTTGGTGTTCCTGGAGTGACTTAAGGCTATATCGAGGCAATCCGCACAGGATACACATATGCCAACACGAGACTGATCAATTGCAGTCCTAAATAACAATGGGAAGATACAAGTAAGATAACACCAAGTGAATTTCGAGATTGACTAGCTTGAAAATTGTTTAATTAAACTCGCATATTCATATAGTCAGTCAGATTTAAAATCGATGACAACCCGTCAATTGTGATTAACCATTTGATTTAGATTTCATAACTTGTGTTGATGAAGTTGCGTGATAAGCATGATTTTAGGATAAATTTCAAGCTTTTCAATTTATAAACAATGAAGATAGTTCTGATAAAAAAGTTTCTTTCCTTTTCTCGTAACAATTATATTTTGTATAAGATTATAGTTGTAATACACGCTTACAATACATTTAGACAATTAACTATGCAAGTGAGAAAGCTAAGAAGTGACCAAGAAGCTGTGATTGGCAAAAGCGAACGTATATTCTCTATTCAAATGATCGAATATTTGATTTTTTTTTCACTTATTGAGATTTCACATGGTTATCTCTGTTATTTTTGTTAATCTACCTGATATGGTTAAAGTTGGTCTATTCATGGAAAAGAAGTCGTCTATCTATTTCGATTCAATCCTTATCAGTGTACTCGATTGAGTTGATGATTGTTTAGATCATTATCAATTAGATAGTAGCATATAGCTTTATTATCTAAATATAGTATTAGAAACTTAGTGACACTATAAATATAAATCTCAGACTACTCACTTTACAATTAATAATTTATATAAAATTGCTTTTTTTTAATTGTGGAAAGCAGTTGAAACGTAAACGAGTTAACTAGTACCAGTCACTTGAATTTTCCAATTAATAAAGACAATATAACAGTCGAAAAAAATATGCATAGGTACTACCTATTAATATTATTTAAACATGGGAAGATATATTGTTCTAGACGTTTTACATGGTTGAATGACATTTAAAAGAGACCATAAATGTAAATTTTAAGGTATAGTTGAAAATTTTAAGTCAACAAGGTATATCTATAACCTCTAAGGAACTGATACTCATAAATCACTTATCACTGAGTAATGAATGATGTCATATTTACTTAGCCTTTTAGTACTGATCAATATCTATCGATTAAGTTGAAGGAAGAATAACTCATTGATCACGTTTCAAACTGTGGAGCTGATTGACTCAAGTTTGAATCCCATAGAAAGCACCAGTTCCTTCAGAAAGCTAAGTACACCATGCTGACGATTGTCAACTAGCATTAATTTTAGATCCAAAATTTTATGTTGATTAGTCCAAACTTCTTAAAAACCTATACTCCCTGTTGGACTCAAATTCTAGTCATCAGTGTTCAAATTAAAGACATAGTTTTAAGTTAACATCATTTATTAAATAAGAAAGATTGGTTCAACAAAGAGTTCTCTTTTTGGTGAATTCATTTTCAAAGCTGTACAATCGTAAATATATTTACTTATTTTTCAAGATGATAATACTCTTCTTCCTTTACAGTAATCTGCTTCCCCTTCCATCTTCTTGATAAACTTCCTATCACCAACTGGTTTATTTATGTTTGCATGATCCTCCTGATTACATTTAGTCTCAATTTCAACATTTTATCTTATCATGCTGAGCCATCCTTTCTCAATTATAATCTCCTTATCTATCTTTATGATGAGTAGTTAAGCCCTTAACAATCAAACGATTATTATTTTCCCTGTTTAAGAATAAAGAAAATTTTTTAAATACCTTTGTTTATTCTACCTTACCGTCACCATGTCTAACCGAAGTTTATTGTCATTATTATGGTTATTATTATCATCCTGAAAAAAGCATATATATACTTGCGATTGTACAGCTTTAAAAATGAATTCGCCGAGAAAAGAACTCTTCACTGAATCAATTTTTCTTATTTAATGTCTTAATGGGTGTATTCTGTTTACTAAAAAACATCATTTATCATACACGAAAAAAGTTATACCATGTAAGTTAGACCATCATTGATAACCTGGAAGCACTGGTTGGTCATTTCGTACCAGTATAGGACTCCTCAGCAGTGTGCATCCACGACTCTGCAAGCGGGAGCGGAACCCAGAACCTTAGGTCACGTGCACGAACACCTAACCTCTAGATACTAAGCCGGTATCTAACGGTGTGGAAGTCAACTATCTCTATAACCTCATACTGACAAAAAAACTATGGATTTGGTTTGTTTTATTACAGATATCTTTTAAAAAAACAGTGAGAAAAAACTCACACAATCAATATATAAGAAAACAATGCAATAATTTACCTGCATTCTGTCAATATAATTTTCTAATGTAAGTATACCGGATCCAGCAACTTTTTTTGTTTCAACCATTGTTTTCAAATCAGCTAACAAACTCATATGTTTAGACATATCTGTGGCTAAAACCTAGTTTTTTTTTATAAGAAAAACATTAAATTTTTAGAGTAACATTAAGACACCATTTAGTACAAGATAATTCGAAATATTATCAACTTATCTAAGGTTTAGTCTCAACAAAATTCTTCCAACAGAACTATGGTCATGTGAACATTAATAGTTTACTTCCAAGAATGAGGTCCTGAAATTCTAGTTGTCATTTGAAATGTGTTGGATAATGTTGGTTAATGTTGAAAATGTAAATACCAATAGGCTTTAACCCAATCATCGAATAGTTAAGCATATACCATTCTAAACATAAAGGTCCTGAGGGTCGATTCCCCGATAATTTTGTATAATCTTTAAATGGACATTGGACAAAGAAACTACTTTCTCAATTATTAGGTTAGTCAAGTAAAAAGAAATAGACAACATGAGAGATTTTGAAAACTAATTTCTTTTTGTGTCTTTCTGGTGCATAAATATAGATATTTCACTGGTTGAAATCATGAGTCAATTGAAGCCAAACCACCATGGAAAACCTGGAAGCACTGGATGGCCGTTTCGTCCTATTGTGGGACTCCTCATCAGTGCGCATCCACGACCCCGCCCCCCGCGAGATTCGAATCCAGGACCTATCAGTCTCGCCCCAGGCGCTTAACCAACTAGACCACTGAGCTGGCATCCAGCGGTGTTAATGTCTAACTTCAACCAATCCACGAAATTGCGCCACCATGAGAAGTCGTTACCGGTGGAGTTCAACCAGGTCTGTTGTGTGATAGGAACTCACTGAAGACAATGGTGTACTGCTGAGGAGTCCCGTACTAGGACGAAACGGCTGTCCAGTGCTTCCAGGTTTCCCATGGTGATCTAGCTTCAGTTGACTCATGATTTCAACTAGTGAAATTTCTAAAAAAAATCTCCACAAAACCCATTCTGATAATAAATATAGATGGCCAATCTAATGGATCTTCCATAGTTCTGTTAAACAAACAATTCATTACTATCAAACTGGATTTTTCAAAAAAAATCGCTTATGTAGTAACAATTGCCATCAATCATTTCAAATGAGTTGTGTTATAAAAATCAATGCGTTACATAGCTCAGTCGTACAATAAGAAAAAAAAACGGACACGTCACGTGATAGTGGAGATTGGTTACTGAGCTAGTAGACAGATAGACATATCATGTTATAATTTCCCTCTCATTATTGATTTCACTGTATTGTACTCAGGATTTCTCTCTCATGTTATCTGGCTCTCAATTGCTGATCGAGAGTTGTGTATCATGTTATCTAATCTAGTGGTCTAATAATGATCTGATATATTATCGACTATATTGAGACAGTGTTTTCAGTCTAATGTTTATAGATCAGATCATATTATAAGTTGTTAATTGAGTGAGCGTCAAACATATATTATTCAAAGTTGCATCAAAAACTTGTTTCTTCTATCATCTTGTTCGAAAGTACTTATCATTTTTCATCACATTTTAAACAAGGTACTTGACCTTCAACCAAGTACGCATCCCGGATTCTACTGCTTCCTACTATCCAACTTAACTGGAAGCACTTGACCTATTTGATAGTGCTTCACTAAAATTACCACTCGAAAAAGCCAAAACTTTAGGTCATTTCTCGAACCTTTTGAATTTTGGTAAATTAAAGCTCAGTATATTAGGGAAGATTGAATACTTCATTTGCGAATAATTTTGATTGGGAATTGGTAGACTGTGTATAAAATTAGAATCTATGACGATAGTTTCGTCCTATTTGAGACTAATAATGACATAAACATCATATAAAATGAACAAGTTATCTGAACTCATTATCTTAGTAGACTAGGGCTTTGATATTTGATATTTCGAGTCCCAATTCGAATAATAAAACTAAGACATGGGTATATCTAACTGGCGAGTTCAAAATAGGACGAAACACATATAGTGGATTTCACTGTTAAACTCAATAAAATGTAAAATAAGGCACTTCTCACGGTGATTCACAACATTAACAATGGGATAATTCAAGCCGTTACTATAAATGACATAGCTTATCAAATGAAAATGAAGAGAATTCAGCCAGAAGAAAATTCTTTTTCTTTTCGACGAAATCATTTACTTAAGCTGTACACTTGTATATATAGTAATATGGAACATGTATGTCAATAGAAAGATAGAAAATGTAGCATCATAAATCGATTCAAGATTGTTATTATCAAGTAAGGTTACGCAATAGTCAAGGGATAAGAAAAGAATATAAGGATGAAATAATTTACAAGTTAAATAATTGACAGATATAAAGAAAAACGACAGCTTAAGTAAATGATTTAGTTGAATAGACCATTTCCTTCGCTGAATTCTCTATAATACTTGTTATGTCCTGATAAGTAAAATGAGTGGTAGCTTTTGGGATCCATTTATGGACCAATACTAAACGTATATTTCTATTGTATGATTATTAAGTAACTAAACTATGCATATTCATATTCCTCTTATTATAAGCTTTATTTTGGCCCATAAACTATTAATATACGTTTTACCATTCTTGAGTTATATCCAGTCTATCAATTACTATCTCTCAATTCCACAGCCACTTTTGACTATATCTTGTACAAATATTGTTCCATATTTTATTGGTACGTTGTGATCTGTTTGATTGGTATATAAACTCAGTATGTTTGAAATATAATAATTCATATTGCAGAGGTTGAGACTTGTGTTCTGGACTTAACTGGCTGGGCTAGGCGGGAAGCAGGACCAATCAGGACTCTAGGCTGCTCGCACGTGTTTTACGCGTCCATGGTCCAATTGATAATTCACTGCTCTCTAATCCGCGGTCACATGTTATAACAACACTAACATTTCTTATTTTAACATCACAATAATAATAACAATAATAATACTAATAGTACATTTATAACTTACCATATCAATAATCATACGTCTAGAACTAAGTCGCTGTTTACGTGGAAAGTTCTCAAAAACATCATGACCTGGTTGACTTAATAGGGAAAATGCTATAGCTAAATGATGATTTTCCAATACAGATGAATCATTGTATAGAATTGCTAATTGATCATCTATAGGAAAGCAAAGAAAATAGAACAACATGTTACTGATAGATAGTTTGTTTTATCGTTTTGGGTTTTTCTTTTAAATTTTGTTTTCACAATTTTATAATGTCATGAGAATTAAACGATACAAAAGTAAAACATAAACTCACCTATAGTTGATTGATCACTGAATATTAGGACCAGTGTCATGGTCATTTAGTCTATTAGTGTAGACTAAATTCCATCGTTCATCTGAAGCAGTCCGTTCTTACCGAACCTTTAAACAATCCATTTTTATTCAAACAAGTCTAATCAGTAAATATGTCAACTTAAATTGACCAAGTATTTTGTGACCTTGTGGGTAAATACGTTTTCTTATATTTTTCGTAGTTAGATCTATTGCACGTTTTTCTATACAGATGTATGAGGTGCTTTGTCATGTTCCTATAGTCTTACTTATGTATTTTATACATTATCTATTTTTATATGTAAGCTGAATTATACACTTAACTAAACATCTTTGGCTAGTAATAACTAGAGTCCACTACTCTACATCTATTAATTTATTCTTATTTCTGTCTGCTAAAGTGTATAAAATTCAAACATCCTGAGAATTATTCAGATTCAACTTTTTATTTCCTTTTGATACTGACAAGTCATTTGACAGAATATAATAAATTTAATAAGGATCTATATTTCATTATTTGTTAACATCATCTCATAATCGTCAATGGAGTTAACCAAGGGCTACAAGATTGGTCGCAGTCCAAATAGTTCAACAGTAACGTATCAGGTTCCGATCCTCGGCAAACCTCTCAGAAAGCATCTGTTCCTTTTTCATTCCAGGCATGTTTTGTTGACAAGTGGCAAATAGCATAGGATCCATATCAAACAGGACATCTTATCGACTGCCCTCAAAGTTACAACATACAAGGATACTATAATAATGATAATAATAATATCCGTTGAGTATTTATCTATAAGTCTTTGTGTTTATTGTCCTATCGTTGATGTTCACAACGGAATTGTAATCGATCTTCGTACTACCATCCGTAAGTATTGTTTACATTCTTATATAGAGTTTATCAACTTACTGAGATCGTTAATTGATTATAAAAAATGATAGCAATAATAATAATAATAATTTATGATTGATCTATCAGCATAAGTATGCATTTTTCTAATGTAAGACATAAACAACTGGAAACTGTATGATCAATCAGAGAGGGACTATATATTCACATTGTGTAAGGATGAATTAAATCATCCGATAGTAACATTTGGAATTCATAAAATAAGACTATGGATTTATTTAGTTATTTCCTTTTAAATAAGAGCTAAATGATGATAATATTTTTAGAGAAAAATAATGATAATAACAGACCAGTGTAGTACAATAGGAAAAATTATAATTATATTTTATTTTGATAAGGAATTTTATTATCAGAAGGGGTTGGAATCGAGCGCGGCGGGATCATGGATGTGCATTGCCAAAGAGGAGTCCTACAATAGAATGAAATGGTTGTTCAGTGTTTTCAGGTTTTCCATAATGGTGTCTAGCTTCAATCAACTCATGATCTCAACTATTGAAAGAGTTTTATCACGCATTTTGACTATGCTAAGCCAAATAAGAAATGAGTTAATGTCAACAATATAAATTATTTGTTAATTTTAAATAATTGAAGAGAAAAGAACTATTTAATGGTCATAATTTTTAGTGATTTTTTTTCTAGTTGAAGAGATTTTACAAAGATCGTTTTAACTTTTAGTTTGTATTCGTCTCAAATTGATATCAGTTGTAAGTACTGTAGTGAACAAGAACACGGGTGAGGACAAGCGGACGTATTTGAGAACAAAGTTACAGAATATCTCACTGAAATCTGAGAACCATAAAAAGAATAGTTAATTTGCAAAATATCAATCAATTGTTTCAAATTTCATTGTTCGTGCATTTTCATACCAATTACTTTCCGTTCCCATCCTTTCCTTCTTGATCTTCTACTGAAATACATTCTATCCCTGATCATCGTCATATAATACTTATGTGGATATAAGTAGCTCCCGCTACAGTACCATTGAAAACTAGGAATCAGTGAAAAGCTATCTTATCGTAGTGTAGGATTTGTTAACAGTGACAACTTACAACCTCGTCCGGGATTAAATCCAGAACTTTCAAGTTTTGGGGCGAATGCCTAACCATGAAAATCACTCATTTGGAATCTTTCAGCTTAAACTTAAAAAAAAAACAATGTATTCTGATAACTTCTTGTATGATTGTATTACTTTTGTATCTATTATCCGTGGGACTTGTATCTACTTTCCAGACCTCACTCTTCAGTTTTCATAGTATTCGTAAGGATTGTGGAATTTTCAGGGCTTAAATTATAAGCTGATCACCGCTGAAAATCTGGAAGCACTGAACAGCCATTTCGTCCCAGTATAGGACTTCTCATCATTGTTAATATTAGTATTGTTGCGGTCTGTGACTAGTTCACAAGCGAAGATAAACTATCTCAATCTGTAATTTGTACAGATATTATAACTACACTTTCAATATAAACCGTTAGTATTTTTGTCAAGCAAATTATTGTTTGGCCTATTATTGGTCGTGAATTATCTGTTTGGGCACAACATCATCCGGTCTATATCTAATATATCGACCGAGCAACCAGTCTAATCTAGCATTATTATTTCAAACCAGGATCAAATCCATTATTATATTGGTTCATTACAACAAGTATTATTTCGATTCTTTTGTTATTTGTCTTATGAATATCATGTCAACATGTTGATATGGTATGTGACAACTTGCTCTAATGTATATATGTACTAGACCCTTACTGATCATGTCTAACTAACAGTTGTTTTTAAATGTAATAATTTATTCAACAAGATAATCCCATACAAATAAAACTGATAACAAGGCACTTATACAAAAAGTCATGCTGTAGTACAAATGTATTCAGTTAGAAGGGAAAATAAATAACATAAATGTTTCAGTTACCACCAAACAATCATTAAAGTGAGAAGGGGTTTGTGGAGATTTTTAGAAATTTCACTGATTGAACTCATGGGTCAATTGAAGCCAGACCATCATGGAAAACCTGGAAGCACTGGATGGCCGTTTCGTCCTAGTATGGGACTCATCAACAGTGCGCATCCACAATCCCGCACCCCGCGAGGTTCGAATCCAGGACCTATCAGTCTCGCCCCAGGCGCTTAACGAACTAGACCAGTGCTTCCAGGTTTTCCATGGTGGTCCAGCTTCAATTGACTGATGATTTCAATCAGTGAAATCATCAAAGTAACTAGACTTTCTAGTATTTGTATTGGTAAATGTAAAGTGTTCAATTCAATGGTAGCGCCTTTATGGTTAACAAAGGTGTATTCAGTCGATAAATTTCACAGATCGTTAAATTTCAATGAATAAGACTGAAATTTAATGATGATAATGATATTGATGAACTGATATACCAGTATAGATTGATTTGTTAAGTGGTAAAAGTTATTATGTAGGAAACCCTGATTGGTATTGGTTTTATGCTAGTTCAGACTCATCAGTAAGATGTACTTACAATCTTAAAAGGATTTGATGCTGTCAGTAGAATCCAAACTCTTGTCATTCAGTTTCACAGTTTAGGATATCACTACTGAGGTATTGAGGAAATGACTAATGTTCTATAGTACCTAATCGACTTTGGATAAGATCCTAAATTGGCTTATTGAAATCAATCAAATGATACAATACGAATGTATTTCATTTGATTGTACTTTATGATTTGACAATTTGATGAGTTTTTTAGAAATTTTTAGAACGTTTCATCTAGATATACTTCTATCCTAATGTTAATATTTCCACTAAAACTCATACGTTGATATCTATTCCTTCAAACCTTTGAGCAGTAAACCAAGCGAGAATATTGGAATTGAGATAGTTTATCTATCTGATAAATCCATAATAGAATGAAACTCACATACATAATTCCTTTCCTGACTATTATCCAAAAAAAACAACATAATAAGCTCATAAGTATAAACATAATCGAATCATCTGTTAAAAACGTTCATATAACAACAAGAATAGGTCATATTTATTGGCAGATATCAATATAAAAGAAGGGGGAAATATATAATCTTAGACTAATAATATAACTATTGTTTATACAAAAGTAAATGATGTTTGTTTTTATAAAGGATAAGTTTATCAACTTTATTTCATTCAGTAGAAGACTTGAGTAAGCTATTTTCCCAACCCTATTTTTTCCCAAATTCACATTCATCAAGAAAGTTGAATAATGACAATGTTTAAGTTCTTATCCCATATAAACAGACAACAATGAAATGTATCTTTGAAAAAACAATGTTTATTATCTAATCATTTTAAAAGAGATATCAATTATTGATTAAGGAATTAATCATAAATGATTTATAGTTTCATCGTCAATAAATAATTCACAGAGTTCTAATGAGGAGCCGTAACTATTTATGTTTAAACACGTCGGATAGGAGGCGGTTAGTCATTAATAATATTGATGAAGTGATTATACAGTTTCAGGAATTAATTGAAATTAGAAATGTACATATAATCTTAAGGATTAATGTTCACTGAAAGATTTGAAGGCATCAGAATTCTGTCTATAGTGCAGTGATGAAGGTACACTATTAAGAAATCTCATTCTAGAATGTTACAACTGTCCAGTGTTCCTGATTTATGGCAATTGTCTAACTAAAATCAATTATTGATTTAAACCATAGGATCCAACAAAATCATCAAAAAAACCCATTTATAATAACAAAATGAAAACTTACTTGTATTAATTAAATATTGATTTGTAACCCCTGGATGACCGACATCATGGATAGCACATGCAAATAGTACTGTGAAAATTTCTAAATCTGTAAATACAGACTGATGAATGAAAATTGATGATATTTTCATAATTGATAAGAGACATGTATGATGTATGTATATATTAGATGAAAGTGAGAATTACATGAAAAGGAAAACAAAACAAAACGAAACACAAGGAATAAACATGTCTATTTCAATGAGAATTTAAAGCATGGAAATAAAGTACTAGGATGAACATTTGTCTAAAGAGAAAACATCACTTAGATTATGAATGGATATAAATGATCGAATTCTAATTGATAGAAAACAAACTTAACTTTTTAACAAGATCTTAGATTCCTTTTTCAAATATTTTGTTTAAATCATAGCTGATGGTATGTTATTGACATTTAACTGATCGGATTCTATAATTATAACTAATTTATTACTGATCTTAATCAATCAAATGTAGTTGGTAGGAAAACAGTCAACTCATTAGGATTTATTCAAATAGAGCAAGTATGAAAGTCATTTACATCACAGTCAGTCAGCTACAACGTAGGACCAGGCACATATTTGCATCGGTCCAAGTTGCTACACCTCATTAACACAACAAGATGAACACCGAATTCATAGAAGTAGTTGATTCAGAGGTGGTAACATAGAAAGATTGCATATAAGGATGTAGTACAGGAAGAAAGAATTAGTTCGTAGAAAGAAAGATATGAAGCGATTTTAATCTCTTAGTTTAAAGGAAGATGGAGAGTGTATATACCGACGCCTTTATGATTCATTATGAGCCATGTCACTCAGAGTCTCCAACCATTGGTTACGATGGTCACGCGGACCCAAACCAAGTAGTCTGCATCTCACAACATGGCTCAGACTAGAAGTTAGTGACTTCAAGCACTGATGCCACGTTCTGGTTTGGCCGCCTCTAACTTTCTTCCAACCATTTACACCACAGATTGAATTTAGTTAAAAAACCAAGAAGTACTGGACAGCTGATACATTTTCTTATGTGGCTTTCCAGCAACGCATATCTACAACTCTACTAGGGATCTAACTGAACCCTCAGGTCACACCGTGAGAGCTTAAGATTTAAATGACTAAGCTGAATTTCAAGCTTTAATCTATTCGCGCTATTTAGAGTGACCATCTTTATGTATAAACCATGTAATTCGTGCGATAATGTTGATAACTCACATGTTAAGTGATCAGCATAATATAACGTTATTTATTAAATATTACTTGATAAAAAATTGGATGATAGAAATGGAAATTTAGTAGATATCAGTGTAGATAAATTTCAGTGTTTAAACACTGTCGGAGGGGGAAGAGGCGGAGTTCGATTAAAGTTATTCCGATAGTTGGAGACTCTTGGTGACATGACTCAGAATCGATCACAATGGCATGGGTGTTTATACTCTCTGTCTTCTCTTAAACTGTGGGATTAAAATTGCTTTATGTCTTTTTTTTCTAAGAACTAATTCTTTCTTCCTGTACTATATCCTTATATGCAATCTTTCTTTTATATATATTACCACCATCGAATTAACTAGTTCTATGAATTTGGTGTTCATCTTGTTGTGCTAATGAGGTATGGCAACTTGGACCGATGCAAATATGTGCCTGGTTCTACGTTGTAGCAGACTGACTGACTATTCAGGTTTAAATTAATTTTTCATTAATTTTAATAATGGATGATCTAATTAATAAAATAAACTTGATTTGCTTGACTACCTCCAACCACCATCTAAATCTCAATACATAGTGCCCGCAGTGTCGAGTCACCTAGACTGGTGGCCACATTGCAACATGATCGATAGCATTCGATCTGCACTAATAAGGACTAGACAAGCATGACATTGATCACCACCCAGTGATCAATCAATTGTGAAATTACAGCTAATTTTGCATGCTCGTTTAATTGGCAAATGATATGTATATTGTAGCTATTTTGTTGTTGAAAGACATCGGTTTGATAGACAATTCTATTCATTTAATGCCTAGTCAATTTTAGAAAGAAATCTAATCTTACATCCATTTGAATCATGTGAAAAATTGGGATCGAATTCAATATGCAGGTGAATAATTAAGCCTATCGTATTCCTTCTGATATTAAAGTGAATCATGTGATCACATTATTGATTAATTTCGATAGGTAATTCGTGTTCTAGTGAGAAGTAAAGATCAATGGGATTCAACTGTGTCGGATCCGTGTTAGTTACATATAAATAATATTGGAATATAGTTGGATATTATTGACTGACATTATAAGTGTAAATCACTAGATATCAACTTCGTAGCTTAAGGGTTACGTATATGCTATAAGATCTGAAGACATTAGATCACCGTGCCCAATGAGGTGATGGATACTCACTTCTAAGGAGCGGCATACTAAAATGAAATGTCTGTTCAATGTTTTCTGATCCTCAATAATTGTTTAACAAAGTTTAGTCCATTATGTAAACCCTAAAGTTTCAGTAATCTACATTTACTGTTTATACCAACGGACTTAAAATTTAACATAGATAGTATTAATTGTCTGTAAAGAAAATCACCGTACATGTACTTCAGTTTATTCAAGATTTTTCAAGTGCTGTTACCAAAGTAAACTTTACTGATGATAATGTTTGAATTTTGAAATTCATTTATGAATACACAAACATAGATTAACACAGTGAAACAACACAACGTACTAGTAACACTTAAATCTATGTAGGCAGAGTATACTATAGATACAAATTTAATAAGGAAATTGTTGTTATGCTAAATGGAGAATGTCAGTGTAGTATTTTTCCCCAATGAGGATAACATTTAGGTCAATTTACAATCAGTCAGCGTGTTGACATCTTTACAACTTATTAATTAACACCAGCAAAATGTAAATCAATCTCGTAAATGGTGATCACTCGAATGAACAAACAAACCCAATCAAGATGAGATAGTCAAGATTCATGAAGATAACATAAGCCAGGAGACAAAGATAATCATACCATCAGAAAATAAATTAATCTAATGATTTTGAAATAATTTTTAAAATACTATTCGCTTTTATGTTCCAAACTATGTAAATTCATTTTGTATTGTTTGTTTGAATCTTTCCATTAATGTTTAGGACTGTACTTGATCAGTTTCCTATTGACGTATGTATATCCTGTGCGGATTACTTTGATATCACTTTAAGTCAGAAGCATTCTAAGCAAAGATGGATGTATCTAGCAGAGAAATCCAGGACGCGCGTTTCGTTATATTTGGAACTCGTCAGCTGGATGTATCTGCATCTCAGCGTCTGAAGTGAACTGTACCAGGTTCGACTCCCGGAGTGAACATCAACTCTGCGATGCAGGTGAATTCCCCAAATAGGACGAAACCTGCGTCCTAGATTCCACTGCTAGCCATCATACATCTTTGCTTTCAATGTATGTGTTGAGATAACAATGAAAGCCTTACAATTCAAATAAGTTAATTAACCAATCAACTAATCATCTAAGAAGAGCTACATTATATGTCACACAAACCGTAATAAATAAACTAAAATTAATAATGATAATATAACATTGTGGTTTACCTCTAATGATTGTGCATTTAATAATACATGTGTTGACTGTACAACATCAGCTGCATGAACACGATTATGATACGGATTATCGTTATATTTCTCTTCAACAGCAGTCATGTATAGAAGTAGATTACGTTCAGGTATAGCAAATTTTTGCAAAAGATTTCTTTTCTGTAGAGAAAAATAATATAAAAAAACATAAATATTTGATGATAAAATAATGAAGTAGATTTCGAAACTGCCATAATTTTTTTTATATAGAGATAAATATTTAGTAGAAAGGATTTAGTGGAGATTGGCTTAATTTGTAAGGTGTATTCGTCACGGATTGATCTTAGTTGGGTTACCATTGAAATTCAGGGGTCACTAGACAGCTGTTTCATCCTATTATGAAGCTTCCTAAGAGTGAGTACTTACAACCTCACTGAGGATCTAACCTAGGAATTTCAGGTTTTGAGACAAATCCTTTCAGGATTATAGAATAGATGGATTGTGCTAAGCAATGGGATCTAGTACGAGGGTTCCATCTTATTTTGAACTCGTCAGCTGAGTGTACTTGTGTTCTAGTGCTGAAATCCACATTGGGACTTGAACTCAGTATCCTTCGTTTCGGACATAAAATGCATTATCGACTGCGTTAGTGAGTTCAGGAAGCTTGTACAGTCGGTAAGAATTTAATTTAATTTGTTATAGCTTGAATTGTCCTGTTATTTATATCCTTGACAGAATTATGGTCAATCTTAGTTTACATTTGTGAATCCTGTTTGGATGGCTTAGATATAGCCAGTTTTCGTAAGTCTGATAGAATAAATGAATTGCGGCTATCAGAGGGATAGATTAGAATCTATGAATCGGCATCCAGGGTAAAAATTTTATTTTAATCAGTTGGCAGTGTAGGTTCTTTGTAATGATTTTGTTTAATTTGTTATATCACCCGTCAATGTGAGATCAAAAAACCGCTCCATCTAAATTGATTTGGGCAGTTATGTAATATCTCTAGGTCTCAGACACAAATAACCTAGTTCAGAGCCGAATACATAAGCGTTTACTATGTAAACGAGTTCTATTATTATCACTATTATGGTTATTATAACTATCTAGATAAATAATAATCCAGTGTCTTCACATAAATCACCTTAGAAAAAATTTACGTTGATCCACCAATGCGAAGTAACTGTTATTATATTTGTCTAGTCCCGGACACAAACGTATTTCAGATTTATTATCTTGTGAATTGATTATAACTCCAGAATTTGTATTGACAAGTGGAAAAAATTCGCTTCTATTCCTATTGATACTATAACTATAGATTGCATTTATGTCTTTCTAATGAGTACCTGGTAGCACAAAACCTCGGTCAAGTAGGGTTTCCTGTTGACTTGCTTCATTCATTTGGCAACAAAGCTCATTTCAAGCAATATTGAGCCACTTAGATTAGTGATTATGTCTAAACTTGATTAGTAGAATCGGATCAATATTAAGAACTAGGTGAACGTGACATTGGTCACTACTCAGTGGTAAATCAATAGAAATATATTAGTCCTACAGGAATTTTATCACGGCCAAAATAAATTAATGGTAACGTCTCACACTGTGAAGCCAAGTGACATGAATTTGAGTCCAACAGAGGTTAGCAGTTATCATAGGATGGCTGGTGTGCCTTAACGATAAATGCTGACTATGAAGTTTTTATTTATAACTGTTCTACTTATTAGTACTTGGTATTAATTCTTTTCATGTCACTGAAAAAATTGACTTTTGTCAAGCTAACTGTTCTTTTATTGGTTAACATATGTACTCGTAAATTAATCCACGGACTGATCTTAGTTAAACCATCACTGAAAACCACGAAGAACTGAATATCTGTTTCTTTCTAGTATGGGACTCAGTACCGAGAATCAGGAGCCCGCCTGCGCGGATCGAACTGAGAATCTTCGGTCTCGGATGCGAACACACTTTGTTTGGACAGTCATTTTGAACCTGCCATTCGTGCGCTTTAGAGCTTTGAAGGTTGACCGAATTCGGGTGCCTTATTCCGGTGTTTTGGGCAATGAAGCTTTTTGACTCAGTCAGTTACAAACATTTACGAGTCTCAGAATCATAATCCTCACGACACTGCTTACAATAGAGAATGCACGGATCGATTTTCTAAAGTGATTCACAGAGAAACATGAATAGCTGAAATTGTTCTGTAAAACTGTTCGTTGTAATTTCGTTCAACAGAACCATCACAATCTTAAGTGGCTTACGTTGGGGTAGATCGAGGAGGCAAAGTAAAGATTATCAGAAACTGAATGTAACATTATGTTGAAAACACATGTATTTTAACATTAAGCAATCAAAAATCAAGTCATTTCTAGGCATAAAAGCTAATGGATTTGGTCGGTTTTGAATTAAGACTATTCAGTGGTGCATATCCTGGACCCTACTGTAGATTGAACCCAGGTCCTTCGATCTCACTTAACTTCTAGACAGGTATGTAACAGTGCGGGCTCAATAGTCTAAAGGTTAAGCATTCATTGAAAGATTCAAAAGTTCTGGGTTCATTCTCTGATCAGGTCGTGGAATTATCGAACTATCACTACTCTAGTAGGAAAATAATACAGTTGAAACATAAACAAATAAATAAGATGATGAAATTTTAAAAACCTACCTGTACAATATTATAAAATACACACGTTAGTGGATTAGTAGTAAGTTGGTCTACTACAAATATATCAATACCCCATAGATCAAGGGAAGTTTTTAGAAGCTAAAGCAAAAAAAATAGAGGAATGAATTAAGAGCAAATTAGTTGTTGTTTGGAAAATTTATGAACAAAGGAATTAAATTTGTCGACAAAAGAGGGAGAATGAGAGAGTAAAATCAAACACTATTTAGAAAAATGTATTCATTTTACAAGAGGTGAGAAATGATGAATGTCTAGTTAAGAATTTAATCATGTTGGTTATGACATTGATGTTGAATAAATGACTAACGATCTGAGGTTAACAACATCGAAGTTACTAAACAGATAAAATACTCAAGTCTTAAGTGAAAAATTAACGGAATTTAAACGTAATTGAATTGTAACTCAATAGTCCAAAAACTAAACATTCACTTGATCGCATAAAGATCTTGCATTCCACCACTGGTGAAGTTGTGACTACGTACTGCTGAGAAGTTTCAGACTTGTTGCTTACTTGCTTACGCCTGTTACCCCTCGTGGAGGAGTATAGGCCGCACATCAATACTCTACATTCAACTCTCTCTTGGGCAGTCCTTTCCATTTGCAGTTCATCTTTCCCATGTCTGCTTCCAATTCTCGATGCAGTGTGTTCTTTGGCCTTCCTCTTTCCCGTTTCCATTTAGGATTCCAAGTTAGGGCTTGCCTTGTGATATAGTTTGGTGGTTTCCGTAATCTATGATTGTTCAGTGATGATCCGTAGTGTGGCGATTCAGTCTATGCACGATCGATCGTCATGGAATCTAGTCTGTTGATCTCGAAGTTGAGAGTCTACTGAGTCTTTCGTCTGGTTCAGCAACACTCTGTTGAAAACATTTCCTGATACTGACAGTAGTGTGATGCCTCTGTAGTTCTCACATTTGCTCAGATCTCCTTTCTTTGGTATCTTGATAAGGTACCCTCCTTTCCAGTCCGTCGACACTTGTTCTTCCTCCCAAATATTCCTGACCAGAACGTGAAGCATACTCGTAGTTACTTCATTATCTGACCTCAGAGCTCCAGCTGGTATTTAGGAACTGGTATCAGGTCTATTCAAGAGTTCATCAAAGTGTTCTACACATATTTTCCTCTGTTCTTAAATCTCGGTGATTGTCTTGCCTTCTTTGTCCTTTTCCGGTCTCTCTGGTTTAGTATATTTCTGTACTAGTTTCTTCGTAACATCATACTTCTTTCTCCTACGGCTTTTTCCTCTGTCGTTGCTAGGTCCTCCATGTATTTCTGATTATCGGCTCTAATGCTCTTTTCATTTGCTTGCTTGCTTCTGTATATTCAACTTGGTCTTGACTTTCTCTACTCGTGCTCGGCTGTTGTTAATCGCTGTCTTCTTGTTCTTCCTTTCTTGAATCTTGTGTAGGGTTTCCATTGAGATCCATTCCTTCTGGCACGTCGAAGTTAATACTTCTTTGATCCCTTTCCAGTTGTCCTCCATGTAGTTTTCTCTTCGTTCAGTAGATCCTGTAAGCTTGTAACCTGTTGTTAAGAGTTATCTTGAATTCATTCAGTTTGTTATCATCTCGAAGGATGGCTGTATTTAACCTTTGTGATGGTGTTTCTCCAGTTTTCCAGTGATTCTTTAGCTTCAGTTTTAAATTGGCCACAACTAGGTGGTGATCTGGAGCTATGTCACCTCCTCTCCTGGTTCTCACATCTTCCATTGTTCTTCAGAATTGTTTATTGGTTCTCTGTGGTGTGATCCGGTGAGATCCATGCAGCTTTGTGAATGGGTTTGTGTGGGAATATTGTACCACCTACGACCAATTTGTTGAATGTTCATCGGTTTGCAAATCTCTCCCTATTTTCGTTTTTCTCTCCCAGTCCGTGTCATCCCATGGTATCTTCATATCCGATGTTGTCCGTCCCTATTTTGGAGTTTAGGTCTCTCATCAGGATGGTGATATCTTTTCTTGGGCACTTCGCTATGATCGATTGCAGCCTCTTATAATACTCATCTTTATTGTCATCGTTGGCATCACTGGTGGGTGCATAACATTGGATAATATTCATCGTGACTCCCTCCTTCTTTGTTTTGAAGGATGCTTTGAAAATCCTGGATCCGTGTGATTACCATCCTACAAGTGCCTTACGTGCTTCTTTGGACAGCATCAGAGTAACTCCTTGAGTGTATGGAGCATCTTCCTCTTCATGACCGGAGTATAGCAGCATCTTTCTCGTATCTAGACTTTGCTGTCCAGCTTGAGTCCAATGGTTTTCACTTATTCCGTATACTGACGAGTTATATCTCCACATTTCCACAGCTATTTGGTTGATCCTCCCGGTCTCCCACATTTTCTGGACTTTTCATATAGATATAAGAGTTGGTGCTCTGGTTGTTAGAAGGGGCATCGGCCTCGTGACTTCCGAAGAATTTCGGCTTTCATCGTGAGGTGTCATGATTCTTCCTTCAACTTTTAAATGGTTTATTTGTTTAATCTGGTTGGCGTTTTTTAGCTAGGTTGATTTTTATGGAATAGCGTTGTCGACCCAATGCCAATCCCTCCTTCTTTATCCGGGCTTGGGACCGACAATAACTCTAGAAGAGCTACATGCCGAGTTTTTCAGATTAATACGAAATAGATATTCAAGTTTTGATGATCATTTAACTAAGTTCAGTCCATTCTATAAAATTTTGAATATGTAAGGTTAAATCATCTGAACAGCTCATTGAACTTTACTACTTACACGTACACGAATGCTTAAAACGAACATGATCATTAGATAATATGATTTATTTGGCGATATAAGTTCTTGTGTTTAAACTCAAATAATTTTATTGTGTAAGGGCAAGTGAAATCATGCGGTTGGCCATATTGAAATAAATGAAAAAGAATTTGAACTTATAACTTACTGATGAAAAGTTGTGTTTCAATTACAAAGCTACCACTATCCAAATAATGAAAGCTATTTCTATGAAGGGAGTTATGAGTGTCGCTTATAAACTGTTTATGTTAAATTATTATGATCATTAGTGTATAGGATGCTTAAAAATACAATAAAAATGATTTGATGTTGATTAAACTAGAGAATGTCATATACATTGTGGGTTCGATAGATTCATATTCTCCCAAAGTATGTTGCCAATACCTAATCTTTTCTGTGACTGATACTGTTATTACTTCTACGACTCTCGTACGACACTGTGTTGATATGATATAGCAAATTGAACCGATGATCATATTGTCAAGTTCTACTTTGAGAATAAATAACTACTTTATTGATCATAGTGAATTGGTCTTATTTTCTTGAGATATCAGTGACATCTTTGGTCGGTAAACTGCTTTGTCGGAGACAAAACGATGACAGATAAACGTGAATAGTGCTTGAATTCATGCTTAGGTAATTTGTACATGGATGTAGTTAAATTTCTGTCGTATTTTTAATGTGAATCGGGTACTGTAAAAGTAATGTTGTGTTTTTTTGCTAAATAGTGTAAATTGTTATCTTTTAATGTAAATTTATACGGTTAAGCAAAATCTAAAAATAATGGTGAATTGTTTATTACCATTATTGATAAATTTTATTTCTAACTTTTTAAGACTGTTGTTTATCTGAAAATTGTGCAGTATAGTCGGTAGGAAACCTAACTCAACCTAAGCGTCGTGCTAGTAAGCAGTTGTTAGAGATCCGTACATGTGATCTAGATGGAACCGATACTCGCTATGGGGTTGGGTTAAAGGTACACTTTACTGACGAGCATCAAATGTCACGAAACCTAGATCCAGAGTTTTCTGTGGATTATCTCAAACAGTAAAAGACCAAAATAAAGTGCACTCAATGTCGATTCGTTTGAAATAGTTCGGTTAACTTGGAACTTGATCAATAGGATTCAATCAACACTGAAGGTTTGGACAAACGTGATATTGGTGATTAATCAATTGTAATTATGCTTTGTTAACATAGTGATTTTCCGGTTTAATGAATAGAAAAAGTGATAATAAAGGATAAAGATAATGATGATAAATTTAACTAATAATTAAATAATGTAAATTAAATACTATGAACTTGGTCGGTGAGGGATTGAATCTCACTTAGAGCATCAGTTGTTTCAAGATTGCACATACGATCTTTGACGAGTGCCAGGTAGTATAGGACGTAGGTACAACATTTATTATCAAATATCTCTAACTATATTATAATTAAACATTGTAATTCGAGCCACGACATAACATTACCTATACAACGCATAATGCTTGACAAGATCATAAGATTTCTTTGTATATATATATATATATATATATATATATATATATATATATATATATATATATAAAGTCTAAAATACGAAAGAACCAAAGAATAAATATGAAAACTTACATCTTCAAGTTTCTTTGGATCTGTTGAATTCATTACATATGGTACAATTTGTGTTTGTGAACAATGGATTTTATCATATTCACTATGATGTTGATGAGATTGAGGAGGAGGAGGAGGTGATGTACCAGAAGAATGGATTGACATTGTGATATGAGAATTTCCACTAGATTTAATCATTATATTATTATTATTATTATCATCATTGTCATTACTATTAGTATTTTCATTTATATTCACATTACTATTCATTTTCAATGATAATGTTGATAGTGAGGAAGATAATTTCGACAATGATTTACTCATTATAGTAGATCCCATTGTTGCGGTTGTACTTTTAATTGTACTAGGAATATTACTACTGTTATTATCACTAGTCACTGCTATCATTGTATCACCATCAGTAATGTTAGTCAGTGTTGTTGTTGTTGTTGCAGCTGTTGTTTGAATTGTTTCACCGGGTTCAACAGTTTTAAATAAATACATACCAGTTGATTCTGAATTCTTTATGCTATCTAAAGGTTTATATGTATTCACTTCAGAAAGATTATCATGATTATTTATTATTATATCTTTATTCATACTATTAGACATTATTCCATGTGTATTATTATGTGATATCATAGATGGATGATTTGTAGTTGTTAATGGATCATTTTCTTTTGAATCTAAAAATGTTGAACAAATATATTCGGATATTTGTTTGCCACTTTGACCAGCATCAGCGAATTGACTTAATTCTTTATTTAACATTTTCTTAAACTATAATTATAAAAAATTAACAAAAAAGAAACTGTAAGTCACACTATTGAGCTATAAAATGGAACATTGAAATATTTATTCAACAATGTAAGGAACGAGTTGTTTTTGGAAATGATTTGTGATCTAAAATACTAATTAGATCAAATGAAACATAATGAACGTATTTAGTTAAAATCAATTATTATTATTATTATTATTATTGTTATTAGAGGAAAATACTTTGAAATTATTCAAGTAACTGAATATAATAGTCGATTGGTGAGAAGGTAAACAATGAAGATCATGAAATATGGGTAGTAAAAGTAGTAGTAGTGTGGGAATAGAAATAAATTAGTATAGAAATGCAAGAACAATGAAGTCCAAGATAATCATTTAACATTTTGCAAATTAGGTATTATAGTATGGTTTTTCTATTTTACCAAGTAACTCTGTGATCATGTGCTAAATATAATTCGGTTGTCCTCACCTGTGTTTTCCTTCACTACATTTGGTGTCGCTGCCACCACTAAGGAAGAAGATTCCATGGCCGAAGGAATTTGAGGACGGAGATGTGGTGGGCTTCCTGAAGGAGTTTGAGGCCGTGGCGGAGCTGGTGGGAGTAAAGGAGCCGAAGGCAAAGATGGTGGTGCTGGGGATTCTGCTGAGAGGCAGGGCGAAGGCTGTATATGACAGCTTGGACGATGCTGGCGGAAAGACGACACGGGAGACAGTCACGGAGCGGTTGTCTGTCACCGTTTCCCAGCAGCTGAAACTAGTAAGCGCATCGTAACCTATGGATATCAGTGAACTGGCGAAGGTGACCTGACAGCTGATGACACGAACAGTAGCTCCGGTAGGGTGTGGAAAGCAGGAGATAAATAGTGTCGAGAAGAAGATTGAGGAACTGGAGCGTGAGATTGCGGCAATACGAGTGAATCATAAAAGGAATGATAAACGTTCAATAATTGTCTCGGACTTCATTGTTCTTGCATTTCTATACTAATTGATTTCTATTCCCGTCCTTCCTTTCTCGATCTTCCCAATCTTCTGCTGCCAGACATTACATTCCTGACTCGCATTATATATTACTTATGTCAATATAAGTATCACGCACCACAGTAGTATCTGTAGGTTACTAGTATTTAATCATAGGCTTATGTTGGTGTCACTCAATCGAGTGTTGCTGGGGTTAAACACAGGGAATTAGGAAAAGATAACTAATCGATTAACGAAACTGTAAATTTCCATCAACTGAAGTGATTAAGACACGTGTTACTTACTTAATCACATCTACTCTTCGACGTGTAATTTTAAAGGATGTAGGAATAAGTTGACTGAAAACTAGAGGCAGCCAAACTAAGACGTGGCGTCAGTCCATGAAGTTATATTGGTAGATTCACATCAATTCGTTGCGGTCTACGCAGTTATTATGATCGCGATCAGTAGTTAAAGACTTTAGGTGACATGCATGAAAATCAACCACTGATTATATTCTTCTAGATCTCGAGTTGTAAAACTGCTTTATAATTTTTATTCTGTGAGTTTATTTTTTATACTCGAATTATCTACTCTAGGCTTAGTCATTGTACTGCCATTAATGCTACTTTAGTATTTATCTTGATAATTTTATCTTACCGTACTGACGTGGCAACTAAAACCGATGTACATATGCACCAGGTTTTGTGTTGATTATGATTTACTGAGTTAATATTTTTTATAATGCTTTTATATAACCCTTATTGTATACCGAACATGCTGACGAAGACACTCGTGGGGAAAATCATCCACCTGAGCTACAAATCTTCACCATCCTTATTGTAAGCTTGCTTTTTAACTCATTAATCACTAATGCATCTTTCGCTGATTAAAAATTTGCTCTGAAATAAACTGTTAAGAAGTAACAATCACAACAGTAAATATTTTATAAACTTTAATTTCACAATCATATGAGAAATAAATATTATATGAATGGTAATATAAATGAAATTTTCGGTTATGACACCAAGAAATTCTCTCGTGTAAAAAGCCTAAAGTTAAGAGTTGCTTCTCATGGTAATTTATTTCCTTAGATTTAATTTTCAAATATTTAAATGTCAAACGTAACACCACTATAACGAAGTTTATGTAAGGTTATCTACTTCAAACGATTAGTCAACAATGATCAACAAAGAGTTGAGCATACATGTTCTTTGGCAGAAGTTAAAATACTAAATCATCACAATGACGTGAAATTAACAAGATAAGTATCTAAAGAAATGGAAATAATTGTAATAGTAATGATAATGAGAAAGATTAAACATTGAGAATTTATATCGAAAAGATAAAATGTCAAAGCATTTATGAAGAAATACTAGAAGTCAAGATGAACGAAATAAAACTATTAAATGAACTACTAATAAACCTATTCTGTATGATGTCACATTGTAGTGCGTGCTACTTATATTGATGGATGTAGTATATGACGCGTGTCAGAAACGTAATGTCTGGCAGCGGAAGATGAGGGGAGATCAAGAAAGGAAGGGCGGGAACACGATGCAATTTGTAAGAAAACGCATGAACAATGAAATGTGAAACAATGGATTGGTGATTGCAACAGCAACAGTCTGGTTTGATATGATGGAATGATATTTTGCAAATTAACGATTTACTATATGGTTTTTCTATTTTACCATGTAACTCTGTGATTTTGTGCTAAATACAATTCAGTTGTTCCCATTCATGTTCTGTTCACTACAACATTTTCATGATAACTGGTTTATCTAGTAAAATGTATTCCCACGAAAAATATTTTGAACGGAAGTCTTGTGGAAGTTTTGCAATAGTCAAGTTTGTTATCGTGTGAAATGTTTCCGTGTAATAAGTAAGGTCTGAGTTATCTTTTAACCAGGTAATTTTTAAATAGACATTTGTAATACAAATAGTTCTCTATATTTTACAATGATCATAAACCTTTTCATATTAATGAAATAGAATTGGAAGTTTAAAATATAATTTGAATTTTATTCAACTTTATTGCTAGGAAGAGTGGAAGTAAAAGGAATGTTAGGTAATGAAGACAGTGATCGATTGTGAACAAAGTGATCTCAAGTGAAGTCAGAAATATGATGGTAGTTGTTACTTCTTAGCTGATCATATTACGAGAGGATATTTCCCGTTGAGATAGCTAAAATCGATATTGGGTTAGGTGTGGCCTTGACCGCGGTACCGAAAGTACAAGTATTTGAAGTCGATTATATAAGGACGTCTTGTGAATAATCGTTGGTGTATTTGCCCCTTACATCTTACGCTTTAACGCACGTATTACATTTATAAAGTAAGGAGAGGTGTACAACACTAAAGACCGGCCTTTTCTACCATTTATTTTTATTATGGGAAGAGAGAAACGTACCAATGCTCAGCCATATCACTCTCTATCCAATCTGATCAGCATAAGAGATCCTAAAGGAATGGGCATGGCAGACAATATTACTCGGTCGGGTCATCACGATATGCAAACCTAGCCATAACATCGAAACACCAGCTACAAGCGGGTGCTTTATTACTAAATAAGGTTCTGAATAACCTATCAATAAAAACGTTATCTACAGACAAATGAAAGCGAAATTACGTTTAGGCTGATTTTCAGTATAGATTAACTTTATCGGAAGAAACATTCAAAATCATGAAGCACCGGAGGGTTTTGTTGTATCAAGGTGGGACTCATCAAAGTAGTGCAAACCGATAGTAACGTCAGGGATCGAGTCCATGGATTGTAGGTTTCATGGCAAACAACTTATCTTTGAACCGTTGAGTTGAAGTTTATACTTTTAAACGTCATTCGATTCTGGATATAGAGTTAAGATCATCAAAGTGTCATTAATGATGATAACTATCTCATTTTTGACAGAGTTGAACTATATGAGTTACAACTTCACATCAGACAATCAAGAATTTATCTCAACATTAGCCATTAATAAGCAGACGTGATTGATAAATGTTTAGTCTTTCTGAACAGTATAAGATGTTAAAAGATTTCGAAACTGATCAGAAGGAGAAGTAATCGCGTACAAGGAAGAAATATGTATGCATAAAAAATATTATAAGTTTTATGCACTATTTAAAAATTCAAAGAACACATACTGTTTCTATTTAAGTCGTAGAGTTAGGTAACCAAAAAAAGAAACAAGGTGTCGTAAACTGTTAAACCTCAAGTTCACTATCATTGGATGACTTATATAGATAACCGTTGGTGACAAAAACACATTCGGGAACTGTTTCATCCTAGTATAGCATTCAGAAATGCATATCCACTACTCCATCAAAAGTTTAACACAGAACCTTCACATTTCATAGTAAATATTTTGAAACACTGGCTTTTAATGGCTTATATCTCTAATTTTAATCGTTTATTGATATTAAAAGCTATAAGTTTAATCTCTAATGAGATCGTGATTGTTCACTATTGAAAGATCTCATACTAGAACGAAACAGTTATTATATATTTTCTAGTTTTCAATAATTGTCTAACATAGATCAATCAATTTCTGACGTAAAATAAGTTTTCATTGTGAACTAATATAAACTAAAAATAAATAAATAAAAACTGAACAATTGAATACAGTTTCTGTTCTCAGATCATTTAGTAGTGTATATAACCTACTAACCTAATGAATATAATTGAAGAATTCAGAAAGTTTAAATCTAATGGAGTATAGAATGATGATAGTATATATATATTACTAAATTCTATTTAAAATTCGACTGTAATCATGATAATTAGACTAAATTGTGGTATTATTAATCTATAATTAAAAGAAATATCTTTGAACTTGGCTATTTATTCACATTTATTAAATAAAGAATAAAAGAAAGGTTATTTATTGTGTATAGTTTTTTTGGAAAGAAAAAAGTCTAGGAAACAAAGAAAAATGAGAAAAGAGAGAGAGGGAGAGAGGTAGGGAGAGAGGGAAAGAAGGAGAAAGAAGTAATCTTAATTTTTTTTTATTTTTTAAATTATTTCTTCCCAGAACATTGAGGTAAAA